AGAAACTATTTGTGAATCCTCTTTCTGATAAGGGAGAAGGCTCAAAGGGCTAGAGCACATGTTTTACTGAAAGGAGCCCTGAATTCAATTCTCAGCACTGCAGGATCCCCTGAGCTCCACAGGAAGTCATCCCTGGGTACCACACTAGGAGGAGCCCCTGCACACCACCAGGTGTGTCCAGAAAAAAACAAACTAAACTGTTAGAACTCAATAACATTAAAGGGCAAACAAACCCATTTCCCAAAGGGTTGACATCTGGAAGACATATCTTTACAAAAGAAATACAAATGGCTGAGAAGCACAAAGAAACAATGCTTGGGTCCAGAGAGGCAGTACAGCTAGTAGGGTGCTTGCCTAGCACGTAATGGACCGTGGTTCAATCACTGGGACCCCATGTCATCCTCCAAGTTCCAACAAAAATGATCTCTGAACACAGAATCAGGAGTAGGTCCTGAGTAGTGCCAGGTGTGGCCCCCAAAGAAACAAACTAAAAACCAAACCAAAACAAAATGATGTTCAATGTCATTAGCCATTAAGGAAATGTAAATCAAACCCACACGATGGCTGGCCTGTACCCCTCTGCCCCATAGTAAGTGTTGGTGATGGCGTAGAGAAATAGAAACCTTCTATATTGCTCAATGAATGCAGAAAGGTGCAGCTACTGGGGGGAAAGTTTGGTGGTTCCTCAAAAGACAAAATTACCACGTGACCCAGCAATTCCACTCCTATGTCTATTCACTATTAAAAGGAAATCTATTCACCATAAAAAGAGAAATAGGTATTCAAACAATACTTAGGTGTCAATTGCATGGCACAAGTTTTTCATAAACAAAGGTAAAAACAATCCATATATCAAACTTTGGGGGCTGGGGGAGGTTCGGTCACAGCCAGCAATGTTTGGGGCTTCCTCCTGCTTCTGTTCTTAGGGGTCACTCCTGATAGTGCTCAGGGAACCATATGCTGTGTCAGGGATGAAAGCAGCTTCCAAGAGTCTTATCTTCTGGGCTACCTCTCCAGTCCCCAAATACCTATTAACTGATTTAATGGGTCAGTTAAAAAGTGGTGCATGCATACAGAGGAATAGTCAATCAAACATGAAAAAATATGAAGTACTCATATAGTCTATTCATGTGGATCAGCACTGAAAACATGATGCTCGGCCAGGGAGAAAGCACAGTGGGCAGGGCACTGGTCTTGTATGTGGCCAACCCAGGCTCTATTCCTGGCATCCCAGGTGGTGCCCTGAGCACCACCAGGACTGATTCCTGAGTGCAGAGCCAAGAGGAATCCTAAGTATTGCCAGGTCTGTCCAAAAAAAATTTTTTTTTAATTTAAATTTAAAAATAGTAAAATATGTATAAAAAATAAATTAAAACACATGCTGAGACCAGAGAGCGTGCCTACTGGGTTGAAGTACATGCTTTGTCTGCAGGAAGCCTGGGTTAGTTTCCAGGTACCATATGGTCCCCTGAACATGGCCAGGAGCGTCCCCCAAGCACTGAGCCAGTAGTAACCCCTGAGTATCACTGGGCAGGCTTCCCTCCAAATGCCCGCCACCCTCCACCCCCTTCAGATAAACATTCCGTGGAGTGAAAGAAATGAGACAGAAAAACATATTATCCAGTTTCCTTTATATAAATTGTTCGCAATTGGTAAATCCATAGGAACAAAGTAAATTGTATTTGCCCAGGGCGAGGAAAAGGAGGAGACTGCTGCCCTTTGGCAGCTGGCTACTTAATGGGGACGTGGTTTCCTTTGGTGGGTAATGAAATGTCGTGAAAGTAACCAGAGGGGGGTGGTTGTAGAACAGCATGAAGTACGTAAACCTGCTCCTCTGTACATTTCCAGCAGATTAATTCCATGTTGTGTGTCTTTTTAACTCCGCTCAAAAAAAAAAAAAGCATCAGGCAGCAGGGAGGACCAAACCATAATTCTGCGTACGTACCATTGCGCTGATAGTCGGCCGGAAGTAGCAAGCGAAATGAATCTGCTATTTCAGTTGACTAATAGCTGGACCCTCCAGTGTCTTTTGCAAATACAATCCCTGCCCCGTCTAGGCTAGGTGCGTTCATTCTAGGGTAACTGTTTTTGGCCGCTGTCAAAAGGCAGCAAGAATTGATGGCCATGATCCACTTTAAATCAAAAAATGAGGTTCTGTAAAAGTTTAGTGTTCTTGATTTTCGTGTGTGTGTGTGTGTGTGTGTCTGGAGTGGGGGGATTGATAATCTACAGACCCTGGGCTCATATTACTACTATCCATTTGGGTTTTCGAGGACCTGCTGCCTTGCCTTAAGAAAGCCTTGGGCTCTTTCTCTGTCTCCTCCTTCCCCCTCCCTTTCTCTCCCTCCCTGTCCCGGTCCCTCCCTTTCCTCCTCAGGCTATTCTTTCTCCTCCCTCCTCACCCCAGGCTGCCGCCACGGGAATCAACAGTTACCTTTAGACCCCTTCGGTGAAATTTAAATGTAAGCCTCTGAGGAGAGGGCGCAAAGCCTCAGATCTCAGTGCTCCGGAGGAGCACAGGTTAGACTCTTCAATCTGAGGGAGGCCCAGGGAAGCCTGAGGACCACCGCGTCTCAGGCTGAGGGGAAGCCTCACAGGGCGGGCAGGACTTACTCTGACAGTTTCGCAATTGTCCCTGGGGCAGGCCCCCTTGGCCTGGGTCGGGGTGGTTGGCCAGAGAACAGTGCCCTGAGTGGCTGACTCTTGAATCCACTTTGCCTCTTGGAGAGCCACGTCAGTGTACAGATCCAGGTAAGGCTGGATTCCACAAATCCCAGCTCTCAGAACTCTGGCACGGGCTCCCTGCTGCGACAATAGCACTTTGTTAGGTAACCGCACCTGCACCTGCGAGGGGCCTCACTTGTGTTTCTGTTTGGTTCCCTTCCCTCTCCTTCCCCTAAATTCAGGGCGGGAAGAAGTCCAGGAGCCCTGGGTTTCCTTTTCCTCCCTAAAATGGAAAGGTACAGCGCCACCTTCAAGGTAGCAGCCAGGGGACAGAAAAATGACAAGCACGCTCTGGGTTTTGGTGACTATCCTCGGAGCTCCAGCACTAAAATCAGTTCCTGTTGAGAGCCTTTATCTGAATGGACTGACCGTGGCCTCGTAAAGGAGGAGGTGTCAGCTGTTCCAAAGAAAGCTCTGCAAGTGGCTGATTTCTATCTGATAAACACTTTTTTTTTTTATGGGGCTTACTTTGCCCTCTTTGGAATGGGTGGATCTGGCTGCCACTGAGTTACGGTTCTAACTCCAGGCAGTCAACTTGGAAGAATGCAAATGCTGAAGTTTCACTGCCCTTCCTGGTGATGTGCCAGGCAAAGGCAGTCTCTTCCAATCTGTGGCTGGACTTGGAGAGGCGAGCGCGTGTTATGGTTTTGTAGATTCTGGGGCGGGGAGCAGAAAGGGGAAGCTGGTGAGTGAACTTGAAGGAGTCGCTTTACTCCAGGGCGTTTCTGTGTTCTCACTGGCAGGGTGCTACTTAGTGACATTCAGTAGCTAAAATTAGATCCATTCGGAACTCCCATAGACACAGAGTGCACGTGTGTGTCTACTGCTGTTATATCCCAAGTAAGCCTTGACAGGGGCGTGGGGGAGGCAGGAGGTATGGGGCAGGAGATGGTTTCAGCAAGATGAAGTTCCAAAGTCCCGGCCAATGTTTAGTCTTGCCTGCTAGATGGTTTCGAGGTAAACTGGACTGGAAATGCTAAGAAAAGCTGGGCTGGAGGGAGCCTGGGTAGCTACCAGTCCTCTCTGGGTTCTCTTCCCCGCCTGAATCTTCCCCGGTCCACCGGGCAGCCGGCCAGGTTCATTCTGCAGCACCCTTTCTGTGCACCCGGTGTTCCCCACGGGTTCAGGGGGTGCCTCTGAGTTCTCTGGAGAAGGCATTGGACCTACCGAGGCAGGCGTGGAGCTGCTGATTGCTGAGACCCTGGTGCTTCAAAAACAAACCCCCCCCCCCAAAAAAAAAAAGGGAAAAAGAGAGAGGAAACAAAGAAAGCAAGGCACCAGGCAGCGCTGGCCTGCAGGGAGGGCGTTTTGTGCGCAAAGCGTGATTTCTAAACTCGGTGGGTCGCCTCTCGGAAGCTTCCCGCTTCTGTTTGGTTCCTGCTCGGAAACCCAGGCGGAAGAGGCTTTGCGGCGCGTCCCCTGGTGGGGCCCGGGGACGTTCCCGGGAGCGCCCTCCGCTGATACCTGCTTACGTTGCGCCCAAAGGGCGCCCTCCCAGCGGCGTTGTGGGCCAAAACAAAAGGGCAGTTCTGTCTCGAAATTGTCTGGGAAATGATTAACTTGTTTCCTTTGATCCTTTCTGCCTGCTTGGGGAGGACAGTCAAGTGGCAAGGGTGGAGAGTGCATTTTTTCCCCCTTTTTTTCCCCTACACGGCTAAGGTAAACAGCGGGGAGAAAGTCTCAGGAGTACTAGAAGCCTGGCTGTTTGAGAGGGGGTGTGTGTGTGTGTGTGTGTGTGTGTGTGTGATATGTGTCAGGAATACAAGAGCGTTTCCAGCCTGACTGTTTGGTGGGTTAGGTGTGTGTGTGTGTGTGTGTGTGTGTTGGTGTGTGTGTTGGTGTGATGTGTGTCAGGAATACAAGTGTGTATGTGTGTGTTTGTGTCGGTGTGATACGGGTCAGGAATACAAGTGTGTGTGTGTGTGTGTGTGTGTGTTTGTGTTGGTGTGATATGTGTAAGGAATACAAGAGTGTTTCCAGCCTGGCTGTTTGGTGGGTTAGGGTGTGTGTGTGTGTGTGTGTGTGTGTGTTGGTGTGATATGTGTCAGGAATACAAGAGTGTTTCCAGCCTGGCTGTTTGGTGGATTAGAAGTGTGTGTGTGTGTGTGTGTGTGTGTGAAAGATGTGAACACGCTTTCGTGTGCTTGCACCCGTGTATCTGTCCCATAAACACAGAAATAGCTCTGTGTTTATGGGTAAGAACTATGGGTAAGCGTTACGACCATTTCCTCTAACCTCTCTTTTTTTGTTGTTTTTTTGTTTTGTTTTGTTTTCAGGCCTGAATTTCCTGCTGCTCTTCCAAAGATGCTTTTCATCTTGAACTTCTTGTTCTCTCCACTGCCAACCCCGGCACTGGTCTGCATCCTAGTCGTGGGAGCTGCTGTCTTCATGTGGCTAATCAACAAACCACAGCCAGTCTTTCCTATTATTGATCTGAACAACCAGTCCGTGGGGATTGAGGTAATTGACCAGCCATCCACCTCACTGTGTCAGCCTTGGTCAAACACACACTGTACTTCAAGACCTGTGAAGGGGGCTGGGTGTCTCAGGGGAAGGAAAGCCTCGGAGGTTGGTTACCCATCAACCCAAAGGTGAAAACTCTAAACTTCTAGGAATCTTTGCTTAGTATAAGGAGGAAACCACTGTTCGGTTTTAAAAATCCAGTAGTCAGGATCAGGGATCAGAAAATTAACAGTCCTACTGGCTAAGTTGACTTTTTTTCTCCTTCTGTACTTTGTAAATAAGAATGGTGTTTACATGTCTAAAGCAAGGTTAAAAAAAAAAGGATGGGCCCTAGGAGGGGGCACTGAGTTGGTATTCATGTACCTTCCAGAAAGACCAAAGAATTTACTATCTCAACTTTTACAGAAAAAGGTTGCTGACCCACCATTTAGATAAGATTCAGAACTTTGCCAACGTTTCCACTGAGATAATCAATGTCTGAGAACGTTAAAGATTTTATTTCCTGTTCAAGAATTTTTTTTCCAGGAGCCTAGTGACAGCAGGGAGGGCATTTTTCTTGTACCTGGACAACGCGGGTTCAATCCCAGGCATCCCAGATAGTCCCCCGAGTACCCCCATGAGTAACTCCTGAGTGCAGAGCCAGGACCCAAAAAGTTCCTCATTCCCCTCAAAGAATTTGTTTCCAGTTTTGAGTTTATATTCATTCTTAACTGAGCGGAAGTTGAATGTGGTGTTTCCCTTCAAATCCCCGACTTACTGCAAATTACTCAACTTCCAATGTATCTGACAGCAGGTGTTTATAGAATGTCCTCTTTTTTCTTTAGTTTTTAATCTTCAGACTTCTTCAGTACTTAAAAAAAAATTTCCTGTTGTTCTGCAGGACTGACCCCTTCTGCTCTTTTTCTGATTTTATTTTATTTTCTCTACTGGGGAATCTTTTTATTTTCATTATATCTTTTTTTCCCTCTAATGTCTGTATTTAAAAATTATTCTTTAACAGTATTTATCTTCAGTCTTGAATTATATACATCCATTAGTCAATCAAATTACACACAATCAAGATCAATGGGACTTTTTAAATGCAATTGCAATATAAGTAATTTTTCATATTCTTTTTCATATTCTTTTTAAAAAAATTTTATAGAGATTTTTAATTATTTGGTCATATATATGGTCCAGATAACCAAAACAAATTATCATATTAAAATATTTTTTTTCATTTTTAAAGTAGTTTTTGGTAATATTCAATTCAGAGGAAACACATACAAGATCTTAGATTATCTAAATTTAATCTGAAGGTCAGATATATCTTTGATTACCTTCTATGGACATTCTGTCTTACTATTAATCTCATGAATCTGTTTGTAAACAGATATAAACAGCTTTCCTTTCAGACAGAATTTTATCAACAAAACATTCTCACTTTTATTTTTTTCTTAGTAAAAAAACTTTTTTTTTTTTTTGCAGCACACCCGGCGATGCTCAGGGATTACTCCTGGCTCATGCACTCAGGAATTGCTCCTGGCGGTGCTCGGGGGACCATATGGGATTCTGGGAATCGAACCTGTGTTGGCCTTGTTGGCTGCGTGCAAGGCAAATGCCTTACCCGCTGTGCTATCGCTCCAGCCCCACATATGGGGGGTTTTTTTGTGTTGCTGTTGTCTCTTATTTATTTTTTGTTTGACTTTGTGCCACTCCTCTTCGCAGTGCTCAGGGGCTACTTCTAGCTCTAGGGTCACTGTGGCAGTGCCAGGGAATGAATCTTAGTTTTCCACATGTAAATTAAGTCCTCAGGTGAGTTGGTACAAGGCTTGGGGCACACTGCCTTGCATGTGTTCAAATCTGCTTTGATACCCAGCACTTCATGTGTTCCCCTAAGCGCTGCTAAGAGTGATCCCTGAGCACAGAGCCAGGAGTAAGACCTAAGCACTATTGGATGTGGCCCCAAACAAATAACAAATATAAGACATGTCTTCATTCCAAATTGGAACGGTAGCACAGAGGTAGGGCGTTTGCCTTGCATGCAGCCGACTTGGCCAATTCGGATTCGATTCCTCCACCCCTCTCAGAGAACCCGGCAAGCTACCGAGAGTATCTCCCCCGCACAGCAAAGCCTGGCAAGCTACCCTCGACGTATTCGATATGCCAAACACAGTAACAACAAGTCTCACAATGGAGACGTTACTGGGCTCGCTCGAGCAAAACGATAAACAACAGGGGGACAGTGCTACAGTGCTATTTTCAAATTATTCTTTTATTTTAGGTACCACAATTTACAGAACTGTAAATGGTAGAATAGAACATTCTAGCACCATACCCTCCATCACCTTTCTTCTTTTCTTCACCATTGTCCCAGTGTGTCATTCTCTCAATCCTATTCTGTCCCCACCTTTCCATCCCGTGGGAAATGGTAAGCTTCCTATGAAGACCAGCTCATAATTTCTGTTCATTATTTCTCATTGTCCCTAAAGCAGTCATTGTCAGACAAGATTCTAGAAGGGTCAAAGTTTAGAGTTTACAAGTCACATGGACAAGGTTGCAACTATGCAACCCCTCTATTATAGCAGGAAAGTAGCAGATAATATGTACATGAATGATTACCATAGCCTTATTTATAAAGGTAATTGATGGGCTTTCATAGTCTCCCAGTCCCTGCTGAAACTATCACAGATGAGAAAACTTTCCCTTCTATGACATCTTTTAGACACCCAAATCTTACATTCTTCTTTTGACCCCTTCCCTGAGTTTCAATCCAACTCAGTGACTCTCAAGTACTTTTAACGAGTTTCTTTGTTGCATATCATCAAACACACACACACACACACACACACACACTTTCCTATTTTCCTATTTCCCTCATAGTCAACTGCTTTTCTTTCTCATATCCAGTTCCTTAATTTTGTGTTTGAATCATGTTTCATTCTTCCTCTTTCCTTAGCTCATCTATGAAAACAGCCAGTCAGACTCCATCTTGTTTCACTAGGCATGCAAATTAATTTTTAGCACCATGATAGAAGGAATAACACTGCTATGGAAACTTCCCAAATGCTCCCAGATCTCTTATATGGCTTCATGGGTTACCATGTATTTTCACAGCCCTTACTTTGATAACAATTACATTTTTTAATGTTTAATTGCTGCCTGGTTCTCTATGGGCTACCTTTGACAGGAGGATCAGCCTACCCCAGGGTCGGACCCTGGAGTGCCAGATGACACATCTAGAACATCCTACCTACTCCCTATATCTCGTCTACCCTGTTCTCAGAAGTTGCAGTGTGTTTTCTTGCTTCTGCGGCTTTATTCAGACTGCTTGCTTACTTTTAAGCCCCCTTTCCCTCTCCTCTGCAAATCCACATCATTTTAAATTATTTTCAGAGTCTCTATTAAACATCATTTCTTCTCTTTAGCTTTTATATTTAATACAGAATTACTTCCTTTGTTTCCTATGATATGTATTTTTATTATTTTACTATAATAGTGGTATATTTTGTTTTTTTCCCTTCTCCCTTCATATAAGAATGCTAGTGAATGAGAGATGTCCGTGGGCAGTGATTGCATCTTAACTCAATGTGCACCAGATATTTGCATTTTGTCTGGAATGTAGAATGCATGAGTTTGATGTTTAAATTATAAAGGGGCCATGCCTAGGCTTCATTGACTGACTAGTTGAAAGGTTACCCCTACAACCTCAGAGATTGAGTGAAAGGTCATTTTTATGACTTCATTGATTAGCTATGAATGACTTTCAGTGATCGACCAGTGAAGGGGTCATTCTTCTGACCTTATTGATTACCTAGTGAAGGGGCTATCCCCGTGACCTCAGTGGTCAGCATTTATATTCTCTTCAATTTACAAGGGCAGCAAAAGACTGGTGCTTGGTCTAAAAGTGCATTTTTTTTTTTTTTTTTTTAGGGAGGAGCAAGGAAGGGTGCTCGCCAGAAGGACAATGAGCTAATACGCCACTACTTCTCAGATGCCAAGACAGCGTATGAAATCTTCCAGAGAGGACTTGTTGTATCTGGTAAGTCTGGCCTTCCAACCTAAGGTAAAGGTAAAGGTAAAGGCCCTCCCGTTGATCGTCGATTTGCTCGAGCGGGCCCAGTAACATCTCCATTGGAGACTTTGTTGTTACTGTGTCTGGCATATCGAATACTCTCGGTAGCTTGCCGGGCTCTCCGAGAGGGGCGGAGGAATTGAACTCGGGTCGGCCATGTTGGCCGCTTGTAAGGCAAACGCCCTACCTCTGTGCTATTGCTCCAGCCCACGGCTCCAGCCCACGGCTGGTCCGAGTGCCTTCCAACCTAACCTGGAAAAAAAAATCAGTACGGGGTCCTACTCTTACCTCTTCTCCTTGTCACATTTCTAAAACCTCATCTGTTTAATGATCTGAGTTAAATGGTACAAAGCAGATGGAACTCTAGCGCAGTATTAGAATGGGTGCTGGAGGCAGATGTGACATTTCTCCATGTCTCGCCTTGCCGACCACTCTGCCTTTCTGAATCTGTTCTTCAATTAACACGAGAATGGCCTGCCAGCTTGTCACAGCTGATAATAATGTATGGAAAGTTGTCGATTAACTCAACCCACTCATTATTTGTTTAAGAACAACATGATTTTCAAAAGCATATTTTCCTGCATTTATGGGTACAGAATTCGAGCCAGAGTTAGTGTTCATATTCCTGACATACAGCCATTGATCCCACTCTGGCACCAACTAGCTCACATAGTTGTCCTTCCTGCCACGGAAGAGATTATATTTCTTCATTTCTTAGAAGCAACACCGACATGAACTTTGGTAGGTTCATTTGTTATGTATCAAGCCTGTAACAATGGGCGCATTGCTAGCTAGATGCACTTCTTTCCTTTAAAAAGCAATTGACTTTCAGCTCACCTTCCATCCTTTTATTCTTGAGTAACAGTCTGTTCTGGCATGACTTAACTATGAGACTTCTTATCTCTCCCTTTCCTTCTGCCTCTAGTTGACTCTGACTATTGAACCGCCCACACCTGCCAAGTGCTAACTGTGCTAAAGGTATGGCACATATATCACTGGCTTTATCTTCCCTTACCCTTGGGATTAAAGGTTTTAAAACCTCGATCATTTTGTAAAAAGAGGTAACAGAGGTGGAAAGTTTTAAGAATATCCCAAAGGTGACAGAATTACAAGTGTTGCGGTTGATACTGAAATCTGTGTATGCTTGTCTGATCACATTACTCTATTTTGTCTCTGCCCTTAAGTATACGTAATAATTTAGTTGTTTCTTTGGACAATGAAAGGTTTATTGTGAAGAACACTTTTATCTGAGGCTTCAAGGGGGAGTATATCATGTATTTTTGGCACCAGATCAGCACCCACTTAGACTTCCATTCAAATAATAAAAGAAAATCAGCTAACCATCATTTTCTTTATTTATTTTACAATTTAAAGAACTATGTGGCCAATATAATACACATTTCTTTGGGATTTTGTATTTTTTGAAAGTTCTCCATTTGGTACGTATTATATTATTATATCTAGAAGTGAGTCAGTTCGCACAAATAAGATACTTCATTTAGATTTAAAATTAAAGAGCATTACAAATTGCTCCTTATGTAAGCAGGCAGACAAATCTGACCTATTTCCGTAGGCAACATTGCCGATTCCAGTTGGGATCAAATACATACATTCAAATATAGGTCCTTTATGTTTTTATTGATTTATCATTATTTGTAGTTTTTTGAATTTCAGAGGTTTAACTTTGAATGTATGTGTGTGTCTGTGTGTGCTCGCGTACATGTAAAACTATCACCATTCCAACCACCAAAATCCCTGTGCTATTCCACCAACAAAAAAGATGCTTCTCTTCATTCCTTCTCACTCTTCCTTTTTCCTTTCTCTCTGGTGACTATCACAATTTTCACCAAGAGTGAGTTTGTCTTACCATGTTTTAATCCCTACCTATGTGAATAATCACCTGTGGAGAGTTTTTGAAGTAGTGTCACTAAGGGGTCAGAGAGATAGTATAATGGGTGGGACACTTGCCTTGCACAAGGCCAAATCAGGTTCCCATCCCCAGCATCCTTTATGGTTCCAAGCTTAACCAGGCTTATCCCTGAGTGCAGAGCCTGGAGTAAATTCTGAGCACTGCTGGGTGTGGCCCCAAAACAAACCAAAAAACCATGAACCTTGGATTCCCAGTTCTTCCACTGATCAAAATTCCAGATAGTGAGCTATTTGCATAAAACCATGCCTTAGGCTTTGTCACTTAAAACAGATCTGAAGTTGAGTAAATTCATGAAAGGCTAGGTTGTTTATTGCCTGTCAGGACTTTGAGTAATCAGGCTACCACTGATTAGGGTACAGAGTTTAATGAGACCTCAGTGGATGCCCCTTCAGGCCAATTATTTGACTGGCTCCTTGGCCACCAGCCTCCACCAAGTGTTTTCATTAACAGGGAAGCCATCAGGACACATGCTATGGGTTTTTTCCACATTCATCAGCTCTGTCACTTTCTAAGTGATCTTGTAAATTGCCTGATTGGTTTCATGGGGTGACGATAATTGGGGAGATTGCATAGATTCATGTGCCTAGCACAGAGTGTGCGTTCCCTAAAAGGAAACCAGAACTGGTGAACAATATTTAGACAGAGGTACTGTCTCCAGACTGTAGCAGGGGTTGGAGGCCTCTGGGCAGGACTTGCCTGGCTTCAGAGAAAACTGTTATCATTGTCTGGGGCCTGACTTCTTGAACTTCCACATAGTTCTTTCAGCAGGAAGCAACTGTGCTAGCATGTTCTGTGGACAGCCTCCTCATTCATTTTTATATCTCTTCCATCACAGTGACTATCTCTTTCCTGCTTTCTTTCCTTTTTCCTGTCACTGCATCCGGAAGTTCACTTATTTACCACTGAATTCCTAGTAACCCCCTCTGTGAGCACTTCCTTTGGGCAAAGCCAGAATTCTCTCAGTCATTTGCCTAGAGCCTCTTCGTAAATGTTTCTCCACTCTACTCTTAATAATTCGATCTCACTGATTTTGATGCTCCTCAGCTCGTTAGGCCTGTTACTTAGTCTGATATCCTAAAGTCTGTGACTCAGATTAGACTATTGGAGTAGATGTCCTTGGACTCAATTTGAAATAAAGCAAAATAGTTGACATGTTCAGAAAGTGAGTTCTGTTGTCAAGTGCCAGATAATTTTGACAATACTGAAGACAAATATGGATGGACACACACACACACACACACACACACACACACACCTGTGTGTTTGTTGTCCTGGTTCCTTGTAAGCCTCTGTAGCTCAGAAGACACGCTCACATAAGGGGCAGAGTTCATAAACAGATGAGTCATGAGGGTATATAAAACCTAATAAATCAGGCTAAAGGTTCCAGCTGTCTTAAAGTAAATGACACTGGGGCCAGAGAGAGACAGCAAGAACTGGAGATAAAGACTCTTCAAATTAGAAGACATTTGAAAAAGATACTCTTTAATTTTTATGGCATAACATACAATGGTGGTAGGGATAAAGAGAGTGTGAAAGGGGCTCTAGTGACCAATATGGTGCCAGGGATCAAAATTCCAAGGTTGGGGCCGGGGAACAGGCTTACGAAGCACATGCTTCACAGGCAGGAGCTGTGGATTCCATCCTTGGCACCTTATGGTGCCTCATGCACAGCTAGGTGTGTTCCCAAACCAAATGCTGAAAAGTAAACCTGAGCTTTTCTGACACTCCTATTCCACCTTTTTAAAATTTTTTTTAAAATTTTCTAAGTTAGTTCAAAATATTTGATTACATTTAATATCCAAACATCAATCCCATCGCCATTATACCTTCCCTATCCCTCTTTCTCCACCCAGTTTTTTAACTTTAGGGACTCTATGCTAAGAAAATGTTCTTAATTCACAACGATCAATTTGAAAATATTTACTGAAGCTCTATTAAATGTTCCAACTTGGAAATACACTAAATACTGACCAGGAGAGCAATTCAACTGTGTAGTAGAATCCTTGATGGGTTGGCTGCCATAATAAGGTCACGGGAATCTCTGTGCTGAAGAAGTCATTAGAATATTTATATCAAATGGGGGGAGGAAACAGAACATCAAACTTATACATTTTTGGAATGAATAGAACTGCAAATTCAGGTCATGGGACTATGGAAAGAAATACCAGAGAGAATGGTGTTTATGCAATAAAATTGTGGATGACTGTTTTGATTTCTTTTTATGCTTTTATGAGCATCGTATCTTTTATTATAGGGAATCTCAATCCAAGATTATCCAATGTGGGTTGTTAATGAATAATTATGGGTTTTTACTTATGCTATGGGAGGTCAATCTTATTTATATCTTTCTCTGAATATCTATTGCCAGTAGACCTAGGTCAGATCTTATTTTCAACATTTCCTAACTGTTTCAAGTGTACTTTGTAACAATCTCTCTGCCTTTGAGAACTGAGTGTTTTTTTTCCTTTGTTTTCCTTTGCACATGAAGGGAATTCTTCCTGGTTTTATCCTTGACATCATCTCTTTTCCTAATCCCCTTTTACTCTGGTCAAAGATTTGGCAGTTGGAGCTGATTTTCTTTAAATTTTGTTTTCAGATAATGGCCCTTGTTTGGGGTATAGAAAACCAAACCAGCCCTACAAATGGATATCCTACAAACAGGTAAGCCAGGTCCATGTTTTTGGATAGATGTTTTTTGTTAAGATGATTTCCCAGGTAGAATTTCATTATTTTTAGGTGCTGACTGCTTTTTAAAAACCGTCTCTCACAGGTGTCTGACCGAGCCGAGTACCTGGGCTCTTGTCTTTTGCACAGAGGACACAAGCCATCACCAGACCAAAACATTGGCATCTTTGCCCAGAACAGACCAGAGGTAATCAAATTGATGTTAACTCAAGGAAGTGTGTCTAGATTACGTCTAAAGTCTATAAACTTCACTCCTAACTTTTGTTGGTGACCTTCCAAAGCTTTCCCCAAATCATATTCTTTCAATATTAAATTTAAAGAATTTAAAGAGTTACAACTCAAAGAGTTACCACTCAGGGTTTCCTTAATTCCTGCTTGAATTCAAGTACCTGATGCTGAGCCATTGTAACTTCTTATGGGTCATTTTCAGTCTCTCTGATTGTTGTATTGTTGTATGAGGAAAATTAGGAAACTATGAGAGATTGGCAAAGAGACTAAGATTGTAATCGAAAAGGAGGAATATACTCATGTTAGAATAGGTATATTCATGTACTTGATTTGAGGAGGGGCTGTTGGGTCATGCTCACTGGTGCTCTGGGCCTACTCCCAGTCGAACTTGGGGGACCAGATGATGTTGGGGATCATACTCAGGTTGAATACATGCAAAGGCAATTGCCTTAACTGCTGTCCTATCTCTCGGGACCTGGACCTGGACTTGGACTTGGACTGGATTGTACTTGGACTAATAAATCAAAAGCAACCATTGTCCCTGAGACTTTAGGCTACAACCTCAAGAAGACTGGAACTATAGTTTCACAGGGCCGACTTTAGATGTTAAGATGACTGGAAATCGTTTTCCTCTAAGTCATTAAACTATTAGATATCCTCAGACTTCCTCTCAATTTGCTTCAGAATAGTTGGATGACACATGCTTAGTACAGCCAGCTGCTTAACAAAACTCTAAAAATGCCCTTTTAGAGAATTTACATATTCCAACTACCTAGACACAGTAAGAGCGATCTTTAACTCACAATTCACTTCATAATCACTATCCTGACATTTAAGCCTCCGTGTTGGTAGCTCTTGACTTAACTTGCCTGCATCTCCTGTCACTGCATGTATCAGCTTCCTGAAGTAAATCCATAGTGATGTCATGCTTGCCGATCTTTGTCCTTTCACTTCCTTCTTCCTTGAATGCTCTCTCTGCCTCCACCTCCACAGCCAAATCAAGTCCTTCAAAACCCTGCCCCACGTCCATCACTCTCCTCAAGCAAAGCAAATATTCTCTGCCCCATCTCTGGAAGTTATCACTGCCTCCTGAAAACTTAATGTTTTCCATCCCTTTTATGATGGAACTTATCATAAGTATTCTCAGTCCCTACGTTTGTTTTGTGCTTGTCTCTGTGCTATTTATTACCTTTATTTAACTTTGACTGTATTTTATAGCATTAGTAATGGCACTCCCTAAGACCAAAGTGATTTCTAATGAGAAAGTTACCAAATAAAGTTTTGTTGACTGAATGAATCAGTTCCATTCCCGAATGAATCAATTCAAAGCATTTTCTAGTTCCTTACTTGAACTTCTCTCTGAACAGTGGATCATCTCTGAGTTGGCTTGTTACACATACTCCATGGTAGCTGTGCCCCTGTATGACACGTTGGGAGCAGATGCTATAGTGTACATCGTCAACAAAGGTAAACCTTTGCTATTTGGTACTAACTTGAGTCTTTTAGACTGCCCAGTAATTCCTCAATAACTGCTTTTGTTGGTTGGAATGTTGCATCCACAAATAAGTCTTTGTCCTCTACTACTTAGAATATAAATTATAGGAAGTTTACAATGTTCCACGATCAGAGAGAGGCATGGATAGAAGTTTCAACAAAATGCTCTGAGGTGTCAGAGCATGATAATATGTTAAGCGATAAGACTGTTGACTTTGGCCACTGGATAGAAGATTCTAGAGAGAGTGATTAAATTAATTATTTGCATAAATCACAGTGAAACTACTGGTTTCCTTTCCCATTCTTGTCAATACAACTCAGTCCAGTTAACCTTCAGGTACCAATATCCATGAGTCTGTAGAAAAAAAAAAGGCGTTGTTAGGAAAATGAGCCCAAGTCTAATGGGCAAATAATAACCTTTTTGTAGATTCTAGATATGTCTTTCTATATGACTCTATCATATAGACAGAATCAGAAGTTTTCTACTTTTGCCGACAAGTATCAAAGTAAATGTTATATGTGAATCAAAAAATGCTTGTTTGCTAAGATCTCATGTGCCCCCTTCTTTACTCTTTAGCTCCCTGATTCCTTCCCCTTAAATGTGACCGGACCAGACATAAGCAATCAATACACCTTGTGTGCATTCTTAAGCAGAAAGAATTTTGTGTTCTCCCCTGGAAACACTGTTGATACATGCAAGAAAACCCTGTGCTTCTGTTCTAATTAAACTCGTTCGTTGTCAGTAGACTGTTTCAGGTTTTATATACTGCTAAGTCTGATTTGCAGACATCATCTCCTATAGAACCTGCTACTTTTGAAATTTTCAAAAACTTCTACTTTGCAAGGCAGTCAGGTATAGACAGAAGGAATTTGATCTCTGAATATGTTTTTACTTTCAGCTGATATTGCCACAGTGATTTGTGATACTCCCCAGAAGACTTCACTCCTATTGGGGAATATGGAAAAGGGCCTCACCCCAGTCCTGAAGACCATCATCCTCATGGATTCCTTTGATGAGGACCTGAAGCAAAGAGCAGAGAAGAGTGGAGTTGAGCTTTTGCACTTTTCTGAGGCCGAGGTATGGTATGAAATGTAATTCCCAGCTTTAAGTCTGGTCTGATGCCATGAGCAACTAGCCAGACATCTTCCCGGTGTGCAGATGTGTTTCTGGAGGGTGGGGGTGTGAACTGGGGAGCAAATACTACATGTGGGATGCAACTTACAAAGGCATTTCCCTAAGACAACTCTGAAACTCGTGCTAGTGCACCATAGACTTCAACATAGAGAATTTCTGGGTCAGAGACACAGTACAGTGGGTAAGGTACTTGCCTTGCACATGGCCAACACCAACCATTACAGAGAGTCCTTTGAGCATCACCAGAAGTGACGTAGAGGACAGAGCCAGGAGTAGCCACTGACCATTGCCAGGTCATATAACTCCCTTGATGCCCCTTATAAGGTAAAGGTAAAGGCCCTCCCGTTGATCGTCGATTTGCTCGAGCGGGCCCAGTAACGTCTCCATTGGAGACTTTGTTGTTACTGTGTCTGGCATATCGAATACTCTCGGTAGCTTGCCAGGCTCTCCGAGAGGGGCGGAGGAATCGAACTCGGGTCGGCCATGTTGGCCGCTTGTAAGGCGAACGCCCTACCCGCTGTGCTATCGCTCCAGCTGCCCCTTATAAGAACTATAAAAACCAAAGTAGAGAATTCCTAAATTGAGAGATTAGAGGCCATGAAGAATATGGGTCCTGGAACCAAACTGCTTGAGTTTCCTGTTCTGGCTACAAATCTATGAATGATGTGGCTCTGCAAGTCACTGTTGCTCCCCTACTTCCCTGTCTTCAAATGGAGGATACAATAGTCCTTAGCTATAGAGGAATTGTAAGTATTAATAACCCATAGATGTACACATATACTACATATACCCTTGCAAGAAATAATATGTGTACTTGACTATGACACATATAAAGCAAATGGTTATAGCATCACATACTATAACCATTTGCCTTATATATAACCTTATGCTTTATGCTATATGTATAACAGCATGCTAAATGTAGTATACTATGTGGTTTATTTATTTTATTTATTTTTTTATTGAATTACCATGAGAGACGGTTACAAAGCTTTCATGTTTGAATTTCAGTCATACAATGATCAAACAACTATCCCTCAACTAGTGCACATTTTCTATTATACTATGTAATTTTAAAAGTAATATATAGTGATGGAACCAGAGTCAAATGGAATCAATTCTCTTTCTTTTTTCTGGACATCAGAATACTAGCTGGGGTGTGGTGATTCCAGCAATAAATCTATATTCTTCAGAATGATTTGCCAGTGGTCCCAGAATGCTAGCCTGCAGAGAATGATGAAAAGTTTGGACATTAAGGATCTGTCTTCTGGAAGTAACAAGTCTAGGGACTCCATTTTGCCTGACATATGGCAGTATTTCCACAGAGGTGTTCTCAGGGAAAAGGGAGAGCGTATGACATGTACATTTGTCATAAAGTTTGTTCAACTTAACTCTTGTCTTTTTTATTTCCTCCAGAATATAGGCAAAGAGAACTTCAAGAAGCCCGTGGTAAGTATTCACCTGGTCAAATAGAAATTTGCTGTGTTGGACTTTTTAAAAAAAAAATATTTTGGTGGTCTTAACACTTGTGTTTTCCTCTCCAGCCTCCTAAGCCAGAAGACATGAGTCTTATCTGCTTCACCAGTGGGACCACAGGTCAGTAGTGCCTGGAGGCTGCCTTAAAAGCCTGCTCACCTTCCACCCCAGCCCGGTTGTCCCAGAGGTCTGCGCCCGCTGTCCCGTCCCCATCCAGGCTGTCCCAAAAACGTATGTGGTCAGATAAACCCAGAGCTGGAGACTCAGGTCGCTGATAGGTTGATAAATAAGCTTCACAGCAAATATTGTCCTTCCGACAACCTAGACTTTTCAGTATGAAATATGAAAAACATGCTTTGAGTATGAAAAACATCAGCAGCAATCTGACTTCCTGCAGTGAAAAGGTTTACATCATAGATTTCAGGGGGCTTCCAGATGACAGCAGAAAGCCAACTTTCCTCTCTACCCCTCCACTCTCTCAATTTGACACAATTGAAATGGCTCCCCTGAATCAAGATAACCCCCGTGGCTGCTCCACACATGCCCAGCACACAATTTATCTATTTGAACTTATAATTGCTTTAAATGTGACCTATGAAAATTACAATAATGTGTCCCATTTGGATTGGGGGGAGCTTTCCAGCAGTGCTCAGAGCTGCTACTCCTGGTTCTGTGCTCAGAGGTCACTCCTGGAGATGCTTGGGAGCCTAAGTGGTGCTGGGGATGGAAACCAGGCGTCCTGCATGCTAAGAACATGCTCCAGCCCACTGGACCAGCTCTCCAGCTCTAATGTGCCCCTAACATAATGGTATGCCAGGGAATACTGCAGAGCTGAAGTCATGACCCCAGAAACAACAGGAGGTAGTAATGGGCTTTTCTTTTTAACTGCATCTGAAATTGTGGTCCTGTGGAATGTCACTGCACATTGCAAAGCCAAGGAAGGGCCGTGTGCTTTCTAAAGGGTCTTTCTCTCTACCTCTTGTCTCTGCCAGGTGACCCCAAAGGCGCCATGATCACGCATGAAAATATTGTTTCAAACGCGTCTGCTTTCCTCAAGTGTGTAGAGGTGAGTGGACATGGGGAAAGAGGTCCTAGCAAAGGTGTGGATGCCACAAAGTTTACAAGTCAAAGTTAGAGTGGCAGCAGGGCTGGAGGGTGGCAGTTGAAAGGCCTGTGTGTGTGCAGATGCCAGGACAGCTTGGCACAACAGTATTTTTATTATTATTATATTTTTTGCTTTTGGCGTCACACCCAGCGATGCACAGGGTTTACTTCTGGCTCATGCACTCAGGAATTACTCCTGGCTGTGCTCGGGGACCATATGGGATGCTGAGAATCGAACCCGGGTCTGCCACGTGCACGACAAATGCCCTACCCGCTGTTCAATTGCTCCAGCCCCATCAGTGTTTTAGGATGCTGTGTATGTTGTTGCCTTGGTCTCCAACACCTCTCTGCTCTCAGTGTGTGACAGCACCCCTCAGAGCTCCATGGGGTCTAACCTGCACACCCATATGTGGCCGTGCTGGAAATGCCTGGTCTTTAGGTCTCCTTTGGCTGGGGAAAAGTTGGCATTGATTGATGGTGTCTTCCCTCTGTCCCCTGATCTGTAGTATGCATTCGAGCCCACCCCTGAGGATGTGAGCATCTCCTACCTCCCCTTGGCACATATGTTTGAGAGGGTTGTACAGGTGAGTGATTGGGGTTTGGGGTTCCTTGATTGGTGGGGGTGGGTGGTTTACAAAGCGAGGGGCCATGGGTATCTACCTAGGTCCTTGGTCTGGCTGGGGCTGAACCCAGCCTTGAAGGGGCCCCTGGCACTGAGCCTCACTGCTGGCTTTTGCCTTCATAGGCTGTTGTATACTCTTGTGGAGCCAAAGTTGGATTCTTCCAAGGAGACATCCGGTTGCTGCCTGATGACATGAAGACCCTCAAGCCCACGGTGTTTCCTGCAGTGCCTCGTCTCCTTAACAGAGTCTATGACAAGGTACCACCCTAGTTTCTGCTGGGCCAGCCCCCCAGCTGAAGGAACTGTGGCTCAGGCCTGAGGAAGGCTCTTAAGAGCTCTGTGTAACAAATGAATCTGCTCTACCTCCATGGTCTCCTCCCAACTGGCAGCTCCTTCTGTCATGCACTCATGAAAGGCCACACTCAATGAAATGCCCTTTACTTCTGGATAAGATTGCTTCAACTTGAGTTGGAGATATCTCCTGTCAGACTTGGAGAAAGCCTCCAAATTCAGCTGACTCACTTGAAAGTTGTGACTGTTTTTCTAACAGCTACTGGTGGGTCATTGAAGCTTCTTGCCAAGGCTCTGGGCCTTATGATGAATGCCTCCGCTTCATCCCATCATCCAATCTTCACAAAAGCACAGGAAAAGAGGCTAGTGCTTGGTATCTTTAAGTTATTCCTAAGTTACAGCAAAGAAAACTGGACCTGAGGGGTGAAATCACTTGCTCAGAATCTGTCTAATCAAGTCAGGTCAAAGCCATCCTTATCATTTTAGCGGTCATTAATCATTGCTCTTTTTTAAGTTAGGTTTTGCCAAGTGGTAACTTTTAAAAAAATTAATTGAATTACAGTAGATAGTTACAAAGTTGTTCATGATTGCGTTTCAAACATATAATGTTCATTACCCATCCCTTCACCAGTGTACATTTTCCACTGCCAAGTGGTAACTTGGAATTTAGTCGTTTCTCTCACATTTATTCACTGAACTTTATTCATAAAGGCCTGATCTGCATTCAATTTTTTCCCTTTTTTTAATGTTCAGATCAATGAACTAATGTCCCTGTGATGTTCAAAAGTTGTCAGTGGGAATTTTTTTCTTCATAACATTATGAATTCTGTTTTTAATGGTGGCCTATTTCCGTTCATTCTTCTTGTTGTTAAGATGTCCCATATTGGAAGTTAGGAGCCCCATCCAGTTGGCGCGGGGTGCTTTGGACACACTTGGTTGTTTCTGAAAGCTTCCTTGGTTTGGGGATTCATTATTATTTGGCATCCTCGCTCATCCATGAGTGTTCCATTACCTAAGGAAGCCAGAGGCATCTATGTTGCTCCTTTGGTGAATATTCCTAGTATATTTCCAACTGAGAGGTGCTGTCACCCTGCAGGTGCAAAATGAAGCCAAGACACCCTTCAAGAGGTTCTTGTTGAACTTAGCTATTTCCAGTAAATTCAGTGAAGTGAAAAAGGGCATCGTCAGACGCGACAGTATCTGGGACAAGCTCATCTTTCACAAGATCCAGGTAGGTTGGTTGGATCCTGGATTGAGCTTAGGAAGACATTGGACCCTCGCTGATTCCACCCTGCTGTGTGTTTCTTAGCTTGAGTCTCTCTGTCTCTCTTTAACTGGGACCCTTAATCCACCTTCTGTGTTCACTCACCTTTGGGCATCTCTCCTGGACAGCTTAGGGGCTAAAGGATTTTACTTTGGAGCTAGCACCTACTTCTTTTAGGTAAGATTTTAAGACATTTGAAGGTTCCAAGAACATAGTTAGAGTCAATATTTTGTCATGCATGATCCGGTCCCAGCTATGATAATACCTAACATTTTAAGAGTTTTTTAAATTACCGGAAGTCCCTGGAGTAGACTTCATCTGTTGGGGACTAGATGGACAGATAAAGGAGAGGAGTAGGATGGGTAGTTGATGGGACCTTTCAGCCCAGAATGCAGACACTTGGAGGTGGAATGCTGCCCTATCCAGGGCCCATTAACTGATCTATATCTTTGCTCTTTCCAGAGGAGATTCAAATTCAAGATTCGAATTCAAGATTCTTGAATCTCCTCTTAGAAATCCACTATAGAGATGTTTGTCCCCGTATATTAAGGCTCTTGTCTGTGTAAAAGTCTAGCTCAGCTAGATTAGGGTATTTGGGCATTTGACCAAAGAATATTGTTGTTCAGCAATAATATTGCTGATTACTGGTTTTAAGCAATACATACTGTATGTGAAGAAGAGTTTGTAAGAATAGTTGAGGCTGTTAGCGCCCTAATCTCATGCTTTCACTTTCTTATTTCTCTTCTTCTTGACAGGGTTTAGGGGGTGGAGTCAGGGGTACACCTGGTTTTGCTTAGGGCTTATTCCTGGCTCAGAGCTCAGAGCTCAACCCTGGGGGGGGGGCTGGGGGTGGCTTGGAGGTTCATATGGGGTGCCAGGGACCAAACCCAGGTCAGCATGTGCAAAGCAAGTACCTGTTCTCCTATTTCTTCAGCCCTCAGTCTCTTTCCTTAGTTCTTAAGCATCCCTACTTCAAGCCCTTTCACTTGGGGCTAGTCCCTGGCATTCATTGGGTCTTTTGTCCCCACTAAACAGGATAGCCTTGGTGGGAAGGTCCGCATTATGGTCACAGGAGCTGCCCCCATCTCCTCGCCTGTCCTGACATTTCTCCGTGCTGCTCTGGGTTGTTCGGTAAGCTTCACACCTTTGGAAATAACTGACTTCACTCCTGTACAAATAACACTCGCTGTTTAAGTAAAGTTGAAAACACAACTGGAAAGTACCCACAAAGTCACCTTCCACCTGAAAATCAAGAGAAAATATTCATCTACTTACTCCTTTGCATGTGAGTGTGTATAGAGACCTATGCCACCGATAATGACATAATCTAAAATACTTGTCCCACAGCACCCTGTGACATAGCTCTTTGTCAGATAATATTACATCATTTTAATGATTTTGCAATAGTTGATTGAAGGCTCCAGGATAATTAATTGCCTATTGTTGGACAGTTAACTTGTTTACCCTTTATTTCACTGGTGTAGTCAGTGATGAACTAAGGATATTTATGTACTCTTGGGTAATTATGCAGTTATTTACCTAGTGTGCCAAATGTCTATGAGTAGGGAGTACTGTCAAGATTTATGTTTTTTAGCATATTGATTATCCCATGAGAAAGTCCTTATCTCCTCATGTTCTTGCCAGTGACAGACTTTGTCAGTCATTTAAATCTTAGCCGGTTGATGCACGAATGATCTTAATGCATTTTAATTTCATTAATGGCTACTCACTGGCATTTATATTTCCTATGTAAGTTACTCTTACTTTCTTATGGAAAAATAAATAGCTCAGTTCTAATTCATACTGTTTTTTTTCATATCGTCATAAAGTCAATCTTTGTCACATTAGAAATATTTTCCTACTCTCATTTTTGGCCTTGTGTATTGCTATGCAAAAGTTTGAAATATTTGTGTAGTCAAACTGATTAATCTTTTCTAGCTATTATTTTGAATTTATTATACCCCCAATATTGCACAAGGACAATTTTCATCCATATTGTCTGGCTTTACCTTTTCTGTGTAAGACCCTGCTCCATCTGGAATTTACTGAATCTGCTTGTATACTCAGTGATTGTCTTATTCCCTGATCCTGCCTCTCAGTAACTAGTTCATGCATTCTGCCTACACGCACAGCATGATTATTATGAAATGAAATCACCTTGTCCTCACTGGAGGTGCCCTGTCACACTCCTAAAATCAAAACCAATTCTGGACTAATGCCAGGGCTAGAAGTCTTGTAAAATACTCATGAAATTATCACCCTCTTGGCTGTTCTTTATTTAAAAAAATAATTAACATTGGTTTATAACATTATATATATTTCAGGAGTGAAGAATTATAACCAACATCTTTGTGCACCATATCAATGTTTACTAAAACCTCAGCTTCATCCTGCCCCATACAATGGACCTGCCTTTTTTTTTTTCTTTTTGGGTCACACCTGGCAATGCTCAGGGGTTACTCCTGGTTCTGCACTCAGGAATTAGTCCTGGTGGTGCTTGGGGAACCATATGAGATGCTGGGGATTGAACTGGGTTGGCTGAGTGCAAGGCAAACGCCCTACCCACTGGACTATAGCTCCGGCCCCTGGACCTGCCTTTCTTCACCTACCTTACCTCCCACCTCCTTCCTGGTAGTCACGAGTTTGCTTTGCTTGCCCAACAATTTGTTTCACTTGTCTTGTTTCTTCACGAGTCACATTTGAGTGAAATTACAGTGTTTATCTTTCTCTGTCTCTGTTATTTACCATAACGCCCTCTAGCTCAGTGTTCTTCAACCTTTTCATACCTGTAGATTAGTTTCTGCCCTACATATTGGTCCATGGGTAGGCAGTGATAACCAAGGCTGTAGACAAGTGGGTTTCAGTCTTTTTATACCTGGGGCTGGCACCATTTTGTGGACTGTGTTGAAGAACATTGTTCTAGACGCTCTGGGTTCATTCTTCTTGTTGCAAATGCAGGATTTTGTCTTACATTTCCAAAGACTGACTAGTTTTTCATTGTGTTTATGTATATTTCTTTATTGAGTCATCTGTTGATGGACACTTAGGTTTTTTCCAACTCTTAATTGCTGTAAACGACGCTATGATGAGCATAGGTATATTAATATATAGCTCTTCCAATTGGTGATTTGTATTCTCTGGGTAAATACTCAGGAGTGGGATAACTTTGTCCATTCTCAATACTTTCCTTCCTCACAGTCCTTAAACCTATGGAGCATAGGGTCCTGTAACCACACCCTTCCCCCAAATACCTTTCTTTTATTTTCAAGCAAGTTACATAAGTCAATTCTAAAGCAACTGTATAACTCAGACCACACACACACACACACACACACACACACACACACACAACCTATCCTTTCAGTAAGCTAACACTCCATCACCTCTCTGCTCAGGAAACCCTTCTAAGCCAGGGGTTGGCAAACCATTACATAGGCCATATCTGGCACAATGATTTCCTAAGTAAAATCTTAGTGGAACACAGTCATACGTATTCATTGTCATACCTATTCATTTTTGTCATGTTTCTGACTTATTTGCCACTCCATTGGTGGAGCTAAGTATCTGAAACAGAGACCAGATGGCTCACAAAACCAAAAATATTTCCTTCTGGTCCTTGATAGAAAAAGTTTGCTGATCACTGTTCAAAACAATTCAGGAGCCTTTCGTCAGTGCTACTCACTTCCTCTACTTTATCATTAGAACCCCTTTCCCAGGTGCATGTAGTTTAAGGAATGACTCACATTTTCCCACTGACTTGAAATGCCACATTCCCTAAAGTGTAGTTTCCATGGTTTGTCCTATTTCTTGGCATTTGAGAGCTCGTCTGACTGTTGAGACATCAGTTTAAACATGAGTTCAAACTCTGAAGACAGGTGTCCAGAGAGATTGGCTTTCCTGTCTCATCAGAAGACATGGCTGGCTTGTGTGTTTTCTGAAGGGACTCTCAAGGTCCTCTTTGATTTCCGCAGGTATTTGAAGCTTATGGTCAAACAGAATGCACTGCTGGCTGTACATTTACATCACCTGGGGACTGGACATCAGGTAGGTTCTCCAACTACTGGGCAACTAGGACCTCAACTTGGACCTCAACTAGGACCGTGGACCTTGAGCAGTAAATAAAGTGGCAAGTGCCTAACTCAGCTCTCAGTCCCAGTTTTCCCATGTGAGGAATCCAGATTTTTTTTAATGATTTTCCAGTTCATGAATATTTTTCAAATGATGCCTGGCATTCACCCTTCTCCGGAATTCACAGCTGATTTGTGGGTTGTGTTCTAGGCCACGTCGGCGCCCCACTGGCCTGCAACCATGTCAAGCTGGAAGATGTACCTGACATGAACTACTACTCTGTGAACAACGAAGGAGAGGTGGGTGGGCTGTGACAGGCAGTCCCAGCGGGAATGTTCCTCACAGGTGCTGTGAGCAGGCTTGGGTCTGAATGTCCCCCAGCTTTGCTTTCCTCTCCCCTCCAGAGGCTGAGGCAACTGGTACCACTCTGGGGACCCTGGGATGGTTTGAGGTGGGAACAAATGTTGTATCTCACACTCAGACTAAGGATGACAACCTCTACTTCTGTCCCCACCTTTTGCCACTTTCCTGCAGGTCTGCATCAGAGGTACAAATGTATTCAAAGGCTACCTGAAGGATCCTGAAAAAACGCAGGAGGCCCTGGACAGTGATGGCTGGCTTCACACAGGAGATATCGGCCGCTGGCTCCCGGTGGGTGTTTCTGCACTCTATCTGGGAGTGCGTGCTAGACTGGCCCGAACACTCTGTCCAGAACAAGGTGGGCAGAGATGCAAGGGGGAGTTAGTCAGCGGAGACAGCTGGAGGACTTAGGGCTATTGCCCACTGGTTTAAGGCTTCCTCAAATTAGAAAGAGAATAACAAATGGTGGCAAGAATTTAGGCTGGGGCCAGAGAGATAGTTAGTAGAGGAGTTAAGGCATTAGCCTTGCATGTAGCTGACCCCAGTTCGATCCCTGGATCTTTACTTCGTCCAGAGAGCAGTACCAAGCATCACTCCCAAGTGTGTAGCGAGGAGTTGCCCAGGAGCTCTGGTGGGTGTGGCCCTAAAACCAACAAAGGAAAAGAGTCTAAATTGGGAATCAGGAAATCTGTCTCAGTTTTAGCTCTGCCTTGGACCAAAAATGTCATCCTGAGAACGTAACTGTGTGATTGGGATGTGTCCAAACTAGAGAGGCTTGCGTTCTTGGGTCCAGAAAGATTATTTTGATCACATGTGATGGTATTTGATCAGCTTGCTATAAAAGACATCGAGATTGAGAGCTGTTGAGTTTTCATCTTACTTTATTTCTTAAATACACCAGCAGCAAGCAGTGTTACAAATTTCAGACCTAAACAGCAGGGGACTTTTCAGAGGTTCTTGACTTCAGAGTGACTAAGCCTTTGACATTTGAATGGATTTGATTTGCTTACACGCAGAGGAAAATCAGGTGATTTCCCTAGGAATGTGTAATTGTCTGTTCTATCTTTTATTGACGCAGAAACTGACTGGATAACATCATAGACTTTTAACATTATTGGTCCAAAGGGATATCTTATATCTAATCATACGCTAAATAGAGATACCTCTACCATCACCGCTAGAAAAAAGTATCTAAAAGCAAACATAAAATAGAATTATTTTTAGCTTTTTGGGGGTACTTTTGTGGTGCTGGGGATCAAACTCAGGGTCTCCCACATGCAAGGCAGGGGCTGTACCACTAAGGTACTTACATCTGTGGAAGTAGGATTTCTACAAACACCCTACCCGCTGTGCTATAACTCCAACCCAAATTATGTTTTCTTTCAACGCCCCCTACACCCTATCAATGTAAGACTCAGAGACTGTTTTAAGAATGGGGATTACAAACAAATGACTAGCAGTAATCTGTGTTTTCCCAGCTGTTTTACAAAAGGAGGAAAGCCTTACAGATATCATCAGGGAATGTACAGGGGGTCTTTTTTCAGGCATTCTGTCTATTGTGTTCAACTTGAGTCAATTTCTTTGCCAAGAAAGACTATAGAGACTATTTCTTTGTCCATAGTCTTGAGATTTATGTGGCCTTCAAGGAATGTTGCTGACATTCCTCCAAGAACACGGGTCCCAATGATGAGCTTTATTGCTTTTGGGTCTAGTAGTAAGCCACTAACCTGTTTCTGCATAATGACCCTGGGATGGAGGTGGTAGAAGTGGCCCCAGGTGGAGTTACTTCCTTCACTTTCAGGGGTCTGGTAGGTTGAACTGATAGGCAATTTCTTGACTCTGCCTTGATGATTCTAAGGTTGGTGCAGTCTGTTGCCCTACTTAGGGTTTGATCCTGTGGATTTTGTTTGCCACTAGTCCCAATCCCCTAATTCAAATCCCTAACAACCTAAGCTCCCCAGAATAGCTGACACTAAAAATGAAGTTGTAAATAACCTCCACAGAGGCCTCCTGAGCCCTTCTTCTCTCCTCTAACAAGCAGAATGAATGAATTTAGATTAGCATTAGCTTCGTAGAGCTGTTTCTGTCTGCTCTGGCATCTTAACAGGAGGGAACCGAGGAGGGCAAGCTAACTCGCTCCAAAGTCTTAACAATGTGGAGGACTGGGGGATGCCTGGGATAAGCCTTGGTGTCAGAGCACACATGTAGTATGTGTGAGTTCTGAGTTCAATTCCTTGAACCACACAAAATAATGATAATAATCCCCCAAACAGCCACGAGTTTAATAAAAGATAATACCTTCCCTATAACTGAGACTTTTTGGAAATGTAATCACTGGAAATTAAGTTATTGGAAACAGCTGCAGAATTCCTTCCTTGGATAAGACACTGCAGTAACTTTTTTTAAAAAATAAATTTATTGAATTACCATGAGAAGAGTTACAAAGCTTTCGGGTTTAATTCTCGGTCATACAGTGATGAAACACCTGTCCCTTTACCAGTGCACATTTTCCATCACCAAAAACCCCAGTATATCCCCCATCCCAAACCCTCCCCCTACCTGTGTGGCAGATGATTTCCACATTACTCTCTCTCTACTTTGATTACATTCAACATTTCGACACCAGACCCAACATTATTATTTGGGATTTTCTCCCAACACTCAGACCTGCCGAAAAGGCAACATTAGACAATTTGTTTTCTATTGCTGATTATGAATAGCCTATAATTAAAATTTTGGAATTCTAAAATTTTAATTAAAGGGTCCGCTCGAGCAACTTGATGATCAACGGGAGGACAGTACAGTGCTATAATAATTAAATCTGGAGGGATTTCTGCCAAAAGCCGCTGGGTTCCAAGATTCGTTTCAGTGACTTTGGGATCATGGCTGTTAAGCAGCTTAATCAGTAGCTGGAGGAGCCGTTCGTGGGCTGCGACTTGGGGTCTCATTGGGGCGGGGGAGGACATGGGCTGCTTCCACCCCCATCCCATGAGGCCCCACGTGTCTCATCAACTGCAGTAACTCTTGAGAACTCTTCTGAAGCTTCATGTTGGTGCTCCATATAGTCACCAAGGAAACCACTTCCCATCCCTGTCCCCAAAGCCAAGAACATAAAATAAAAGATTTCTTAGAGCTGGAGCGATAGCACAGCAGGTATGGTGTTTCCTTGTACAGGGCCAACTGGGGTTCGATCCCCAGCATCCCATATGGTCCCCTGAGCACCACCAAGAATAATTCCTGAGTGCAGAGCCATAAGTAATCCCTGTGCATTTCCAGGTTGTGATCCAAAAATGAAAAAAAGAAAGGATTTCTCAAAGGTCTTCAGAGAAGTCAAGTTTAAAGGTTACTGTGATTTCTGCCATTCACTTGGCTGACACCACCTCCAGGGGCTCAAAAATTACTGATGCCATTACATGTCTTCTACAGAATGGAACTCTGAAGATCATTGACCGCAAGAAGAATATTTTCAAGCTGGCCCAGGGAGAGTACATTGCTCCAGAGAAGATAGAAAATATCTACATAAGAAGTAGAATTGTGTTGCAGATTTTTGTACATGGGGACAGCTTGCGGGTAACAATAACCATTTGCTTTCATAATTGCCATTTTTCAGGCACAGCCTGACTCCTTTAAGCCGCACACAATCTGTATAGGTGGGTTTAGGGTGAAAACAAAGTCAGAGTTTATGCACTGAATAAATGAAGCTACATTCCAGACCTCATGTAAGGTAATAGAAGTGAAAACAAAACAAAACAAAAAAACCAAGCAAACTGGATGACTTATTTTTTGGAACAACTTTTTCAAAACTCTGATGAACTCGAAGCAAACCTAAAGCAGTGGTAAAGCTGTCATACTGAAACTTAGGGTCACCATTGAGTCAAAAGCCCACTTTCTCTGAGCCCCCATACCCTCGGGGCTTATGTAGTAGTGATCTTTCATTTGTGCTATCCTTCAACTCGGTTCGTGGGAATGGGGGAGGACAGACAAGGCTGCTTAGAGACAAGCTTAACGTTCAATACATTTTCTTTTTGAACATCGGATCTGAACAGAACAGCTTTAGAAACAGGTGTTGGGTGGCAAAATAAAATTTGAGTTCCATGGGGGTTTGAAATTCAGAATGTGAAGAGTCAGACACTAGTTCTGAAACTGAGGTCTCTGTTACACCTGTTAGAGAGACACCAGGCTGCATGTTAGACTCATTGGCCCTGGGGGGTTGGTGGCACTGCCATGCTAGTTCTCATGCCCCTTTGTACTTTGTTTCCTTTCCATAGTCATTCTTAGTAGGGGTGGTGGTTCCTGACCCAGATGTGCTCCCCTCATTTGCTGCCAACCTTGGGGTAAAGGGATCTCTTCAAGAGCTGTGCCAAAACCAAGTAAGTAGCGCTGTGGAAAGCTTGATGCATATCTCTTCAGCCCACTGTAGGAGAGGGGTTCTGCTAGTGGGTGCCCCGAGCTTCCTCTGGATAAACAGGTTCTTCCTGTGTTTGTGATAGGAAGAAGTGCCTGCGGCTATAGTGGGCTGGTGTCTTTATTATTACTATTTTTAATAATCTTTTTTTAATTATTAGTGAATCACTATGAGGTACAGTTACAGGCTTACAAACTTTTGTGCTTGCGTTTCAGTTATATAATGATCGAATACCCATCCCTCCACCAGTGCCCATTTCCCACCACCAATGGTCCCAGCATCCCTCCCAACACCCCCACCCGTCCCCTCCAATCTACCTCACCTCCGTGGCAGGGCATTCCCTTTTGCTCTGTCTCTCTTTTGGGTGTTGTGGTATGCAATAGAGGTATTAAGTGGCCATCATGATTGGTCTATAGTCTACTTTCGGCCCGCATCTCCCATCCCGAGTGGGTCCTCCTAGAACCCTTTCCTTGGTGGTCCCTTCTCTGTCTGAGCTGCCTTTTCCCTGGGCTGTTTGTTTTCAGACTGGACACTAGGATGGCAGTTAACATAACTTTTTTTTTTTTTTTGCTTTCTGGATCACACCCGGTGATGCACAGGGGTTACTCCTAGTTCTGCACTCAGGAATCACTCCTGGCGATGCTCAGGGGATCATATGGGATGCTGGGAATCAAACCTGGGTCAGCTGCGTGCAAGGCAAATGCCCTACCCGCTGAGCTATCTCTCCAACCCCCCATATTTTTTTTTTCTTTGATAGTAAAAGGTAAAAGGTAAAGGTAAAGGCCCTCCCGTTGTTCATCGATTTGCTCGAGCGGGCCCAGTAACGTCTCCATTGGAGATTTTGTTGTTACTGTGTTTTCTTTGATAGTAGGATGTTGATATGGGAAAAAACATGAAATAAAATTTTAAAAATGCCAGAGAAAGCTCTTATTTTTTTTTCAAAAAAAAAATTGTAGAATTCTTTGATAGTGCAGGGAGTAAGATACTTGCCCTGCAAGTTGCTGGCCCTGGTTCAATTCTTTGCACCATATATGGTCCCCTGAGCACCGGAAGTTATTCCCTGAGCACACAATCAGGAGTAGACTGAGCACCATCAGTGTGGCCCCCAAACAAATACCCATCAAATACCCCAAACAAAAACCATAAAGTGAGAGAATAAAATATAGCTATCCAGAGATAAGCTTTTTCAACCCCCAATTCATCATTTCTTCTCAGCTTTGAGCAATACTTTCATAACCTGCTTTTTAATTTTGGTTTTGGGGTCACACCCGGCAGTGGTCAGGGATCACTCCTGGTGGGCTTTAGGGGACCATATGTGGTGCCAGGGATCAGACTGGGTCAGCTGTGTGCAAGGCGAGTACCATCCCCACTTTTCCGTACCTCCGGCCTGCATGTCCAGCTTTTATCCTAATGAGCTATGACAAGCATTTGAGGTTGTTTCGTCCTTAGCATTTAAGCTCTTTTGCTTTTGTTGGGGGGACTGAGGGGACTCCCCAGTGGTGCTCAGGGGTCCAGAGTCCCAGTGATATCATCAGCATCACAGCTGGTTGGACTGGGCAGGGAGAACTGGGCATGTGGCATCTGGGAACTCACCTTGGGACTTTGTGCGGGCAGGGCCTTTGAGCTTTGGCACTCCTGGCCTTGGCTTCCTTTTCAAACATCCATGCTGGAAACTGCACTTTATATTCTTAGGCTATAAAGAATGCGATCTTAGAAGATTTGCAGAAACTGGGGAAAGAAGGTGGCCTTAAATCTTTCGAGCAGGTATGTACTCCTGATGTTATCCTGGTCCCTCATCTGACACTGAAAGCTTTACTCTCCCATTTAAAATGAAACTGAAAAGTCACTTCCGAGAACTGATTTTAACCTTTGTACCATTAACCCATTAATGACACATGGCCGGTGACCTCGAGGAATTATTCAGTCCCTTCTGCAGTTTTTTACCATTTTCCTCCCTTCTCCCTATTCATCTCTTTCCATATTGTATGTGACAGAAAGGTCAAGTGCCACCACTCTTTCCCTTCCCTCAGGATCATCCCCATTTTCAGAAAGTAATCTTTCAGGCCCTTCACATAGCACTTAGGGGGTTCAGTGGAAAAGTCCAATCACTAACGTGTGTGCTTGTGTGTGTGCCTATATTTGCCTTCTCTTCCAGGTAAAAGGCATCATTGTTCATCCAGATCCATTTTCCATCGAAAATGGGCTCTTAACACCAACACTGAAAGCAAAGCGGGTAGAGCTCTCCAAGTACTTCCGTGCTGAAATCAACAGCCTGTATGACAGTATGAAGGAGTAGGATAAGGTAATTAAGCTGCAAGGAACATCATCTTATACTCATTTTTTTTTTAACCTATTACATGACAAAGCCAAAGTTTGGAGGGGGGGGGGTTCCCAAAAACATTGACTTATAATGTAGGTCAGTCCTGAACATAATGAATCTTGTCATCTTACCTTGAAAGTTTCTGGGCTAAGTAAAGTCTATATCCCAGAACACTAGGCACAGGGATCCTTTTCTTAATGATGATGGTTTAAGTCACTGAAAGATTGAAGCAGCACATCCATAACACTGGCATGTTTTGTGGATTCCTTCTAGTTCACTGGCATTGGGAGGAAGGGGAGTAGAAATTAAACACCACCATTGAGTGAAAAAATACAGTTTCTAGGCTACTTCTATCATCATAGCTCTCCTCAAGACCCACGTTTTGGTATCCTTTGTCCCTTCTTATCACTGCTCCTCATGTGTCTGCACAATCCAGGGTCAGAGTGACTCTTTGAAACTCGCCCTTGTTACTGTGTGGCAAACCTAACCTGCTGACAGCCCCAATACCTGCTGACAGCCTTGTAACATTTGAATGTGGTTCTCCATGTTTTCAAACAAGTGTCCTTGCTACCTTGCTATTGATCCCATCTGTGAGACACATCTTTTTTTTTTTTTTTTTGCTTTTGGGGTCACACCTGGCGATGCACAGGGGTTACTCCTGGCTCTGCACTCAGAAATTATCCCTGGCGGTGCTCAGGGGACCATACAGGATGCTGGGAATTGAACCCAGGTTGGCTGCGTGCAAGGCAAATGCCCTACCCACTGTGCTATTGCTCGAGCCCTGCGAGACACATCTTATATGTACATGTATGTACCCTGAAGTCTGTGTTCAGAAGTGAAGTTTGATCTTAATAATGTCTCTAGTTTCTGACTTGGGAAAATTAAAACATCTCTAAGATGTTTTCCCCAAAAAAGAATATTCTTTCGTGTTCTCTATAGTAATATCTAGTGACTACGTCTGTTTCCTACAGTCTGCTGCTGAGTGAAGAGGAAGGAGTTGAAACTTGATCATCAAGTGCACTTTTCCATGAAATAAAGCAAGTGAAGCGACAACCTCTGGAACCAGGAACAAAGAGTTTTGGACAAAGTCAAATCCTACACAACATACTTATTTGTGGGGAAGAAGCTGACCTGGTTTCCCTTGGACTACAATTCCCCCTGTGCCTGACCCACAAACATGTTGTCTCCACTTGTAAATGTAAAGTCTTTAAAATAAAGGTGCAAATATTTACAGTGGTATGTTTCTTCACTGACCAGGATGGGCATCAGCCTGAAACCAGGGTCACTCAACCTGTAAGCTTGGGCTCCCAAACTTGGCTGCATACTAGACTTGCCAGGGAGGTAAAGATACCAGTGTCTGGGTGCACTCAGGAGCTCTGATTAACAAGGTGGGGAGTGGGCCTGGGACAATAGTACAGTGGGTAGGGCACTTGCCTTGCATGTGGATGATCTGGGTTCAACCCCTGGCATTCTATACGGTCCTTTGAGCCTGCCAGGAGTGATCCCTGAGCACAAAGCTGGGAATAAACCCTGAACACCACTGGGTGTAGTAAAAAAAAAAAAAAAATCTAAACAAAAAAATACCTGGGTAGGAGTATTTTGGGGGATGCCTGGGAAGGTTCCTGGATGTTTCTAGGAAGGAGTCAAGCTGATTAATGATGGAAGGAAATGAAACTCAGGTGATCAGGTCATTTCATCCTAGAACTGCAAATAATCCAACAAGTAGAACCTGAGTCCAAATGCTCATGAAATGAGCCCAATTCAAGTCTTTCTCTTCCACCATCTTTGTTTTCTAATAAATAGACTTAAATGATATTTTCTTTCGGCTGCTAGCTGGAGTTAAGGAGACCATTCCTGATGATCTTTCTATATCGAGTTTAGAAAAGCAGACTGTTCTTGAGAATCTGAAACAGGAGAGGCAGGAATTAACAAGTGCCCCCCCCTCCCCCCCAGTAAGATAGTCTCTAGTCTCTGCTCTCTTCACCTCTCTTTTACCAGCTGAGTCTCTACGCATACATCCATGACAATCATCCTGGTCCTCCAACATGCCAGGCATAATCTAACATTTTCAGCCCAAGATTCGTACACTCCCAGAGGTGTTCCCTTCTCTCCTTGAGATGCCCCCTTCATTAGACTACCCTACTGCTCTGCTCCTATACCAGAACTCTATGTGGCATGTATCTGCCTGGTCTGCCCATCCTGCCACCCTTTCGTAAGACAGTCACTTTTTGTTGGCCACTGAATCACTCCCCTCCTTTTTTGGCTTCTGGGCTGTACCATGCAGTGCTCAGGAATCACTCCTGGTAGGATGCAGGGGACTATATGTGAGGCTGGGATTTCACCTTGGTTAGGCATGTACAAGGCAAATGCTTTACCTGCTGTACTATCACTCCAGCCCAAGAATCCCGTATTTTATTGGTTTCGCTTTTGGGTCACACCCTGTGGTGCTCAGGGGGTTACTCCTGACTCTACACTCAGGAATCATTCCTGGCGGGCTCAGGGGATCTCATGGGATGCTGGGCATTGATCCTGGTTGGCCAAGTGCAAGGCAAGACCCTACCCACTGTACTATCTCTCTGTACCCACCCTTACTCTAGTCTTCAATAAAAGTAGTTTAATCGAGGGAGGATATTTAAAGGAGAATGTGGGACTCTGGAGAGATAAAAGGGGGAAACGTGAAGTTGGGATGCAGACAAACCCACAGTGGAGTTTTTGGTTTAGCTGTTTGGGGGCCACAGCTAGTAGTGCTCAGAGGCTACAACACCCCACGGTTCTGGGAGATAAAGTTGGGGACTGAACCCAGGCCTCCCGCAAGCAAAGCACAGTTGGCTCACTAGCCCTCTGCGTTATTTCCCCAGCATCCACAACCAGGATTAGCCTGGCTGCCAAATCACAAGTCCCCTACTTTGGAAAGACGTCCTGCTGTGATAGGTGACTCAGTTCTCCCATTTCCCGACTCGAGGCATCCAAGTGCTCTGTCTTGACACACACACTGCACTTGGCTTTGACAGCGGCAAGCCAAGACGAGTGGTCTTCTCTAACCAAACATGCTGAGTCCGCTGTGAGCTCCACATGCCACAAGCAGGATTTATAACGTGAGGGGAAACACACAGTATCGTGAGTCTCGTGATTACAGACGTCAATTTTTCACAGGATAGCAGGACAGTCTCTCCCTAAGGCCTGGAGAGAAAACTTCACATTCAACAAAAAAGAAAAATGCTTTCAGGTACATCCTGTGGCTTATACGGAACATTCATTGATCTTTATTCAATTTGACAAAAATCTGCATTATTAAGACTGGTAACAAAATCTGAGCTTATATTTGAATCTGACCAATTAGGTTCTATAGTATCTAGTACATGACGTAAGAAATCTCAACCAACAAAGGAGGGAAAACCGGATTGAAGCATCACATGCAGATGCTCTTGGCCGAAGGGGGGAACTCCGCCTGCAGGTGAGGTCCAGAGTGTGCAGCAGTAAGAGGTCCTAGAGAAAACGCAACGGACTGGCTGCGGTGAAGTGCTCTTCCTTTCCTGGGGTTCTGGGGGGGAAAGGTGGCCTAGAGGGGCGGGGATCCAAAGGCATATGCTGAATGGCTTCTCCATTTCAAAATGGTAAGAAAATATTGAGATCATGGCACAAGGGTGTCTCTGAGGAAAAGAACACCTCAACCAGAGCAGGGTCGTTGCATAATTCTTTAGCAATTTTTAGGCGTCTATTTCAAGTAATGGAGCAGACTCATTAAAGAAAAAGTATACTTTGACAGGAGCTATCTGGTTTTCTTTTCGCCCTCTGGAGCATGATCTGTTTCAGCATCACAGGGACACTTTTCCACACAGTTTCTAGGGAACCATCCTCTTATTCTTGACATGCCTGTGGAGGAAAGAAACTTGATCTGAAATAGTTCACAGCGACAATACTGAGACCCAGTGACCGAATGAATTCAATTACTTCAAATTAGTAAGCGTATGAGTCTTTATTTTCCTTTTTTAATCATCTTTTATAGGTGAAGTTTGGGTGGGGAAGGAAATGCTTTTTCGTTTTTTCCCTGCCCAGTCTCAGAACACACTCCATCACTGGGTTCCTAAGAACTCAGATTGCGCAGTGGTCTCGTCATCACTGACCGGGGCTCACAGATGTGGCAGCAGAGGTCCTCCCAGCTGACCCGGCCCCCACCCCCCCAATTGGCTACACCTTTTCATGATCCTCTCAGACCCCTGACATGGAAAAAGATATAAAGAAGATACCATAAGGAAGATACTCTGGGCTTACAGGCTCACAGAGGTGGCTGCGGAGGGGGACCGGTGGGTTTCTACACTGCCACCCCCACTCCGGGACTGTGGTTTTTAAGTGCTATTAACAAGCTAAACAAACAGATAATCCCCAAATTAATTATCTTAGTGGTTCAGAGGAATGTCCTCTCTGTGGCATTCTTTCAGGTGGGAGGTGGTGACGGTGCCTGAAGGGAAACTGTCCCTCTCTGGGTGAGACAGGTGTCCCAGGTGTGAGACAGTGAAAGGTGCCCTTGGCTCCCCATCTCTCTGCTCAGTGCACGCTCTACTGGAGCTTTCTCGGTTTCCTCCTTAGATCATTTCTAAGATACACATTTCTGTATTCAGGAGGCCTATGTTACCACGCGGGGTTAATTTACCACCATCACGATTTTTTTTTTTTTTTAAGAGTAACCTGAATTAGTCTTAGAAAGGAAAAATGCTAGAGCTTACATCATAAAACCTAAGTGTCAATTCACTGGGTTCTATAATGTAAGGGGAATGCTCACTCTGAGTGCCCAGGGCAGCCTGGGGGGTTGGCACACAGATTCTAGGACACCTGGCGATCCTGCCTCTCCCTGGACACTCCCCTGCAGTGTCAGCAAGTCGCTCAGCCTCTCTTTGCTTCAGAAAAAAAAAAAAAAGGCCAATGGAAGAACCTGGAAGTACCTATCTCAAGAGGCTCTGTGTGTGTGTGTGTGTGTGCGCGCGCACGCTCGTGCAAGTGCATGTGTGTGTGTTGTATGTGTGTGTGTGTGTAGGGTGGGGGGGGGGCAAACTTTAATATCCAAGTGAAGTACTACCCAAGCACCCGAGCAGCTGCCATAGTCAGGTAAGAGCCTGAATGTCAGCTCCAATCAGAAGACCTGACAGAAACAGTGCCAGCAAGAACGATGGGGAGCATTTCTGTTGTTGCGAAATGACGACAGAAATGACGACAATACTTCTGTTGGTCAATGTAGTCCTAAATGGGTTGGGCTCAGGATTGTTTCTAAGGGTCGTTCTTGTTAAGTTTGGAATCACTGCCCCCAGTCTTACGCTTTCAACACCCCCTTCCATGTCCTTACCTTCTACAAAGGAATCATCAAGAATTTTGTCGCCATACAACCAGTGTCTGAAACATTTAAAAGATTAAAATTACAAAGGCTGTGGCCGGACTGCAGTTCTGTCATCCAAGAAGTCCAATGCTTCCCATCACGTACCGTAACCCTCTGGTGGCTAAAATGAACTCCCCTTTCTGCAGCCTGATGCGAGGCTCCTCAGTGCAGGGGCTCGTGAAGAAGGTCTTGAGTCCCTTGTTCAAAGGACAGCAGGCGCCACTGTAATCCTCAATGACTTTATAGCGAACCTACCAGTAGCAGAACAACAATGGAATGTTTGAAAGCCTGGGTTGAAACGTGCAAACCCACGATCGTCCTCTCCCAACTTCCCGTCCACCCAGGTCCCATATAGGAGGCAGTTGATGAGTCTCGTTCTCAAGGGGTTTCCAAGAATAAAAGTCTAAAAGTGAGTGCTAGCCAACAGACACTATACAATGAGGGGAATGTCCTATATTTGCAATACAACTGGGCAGTCCCAAGACACGTGGAGGTACCACTTATGATATAATTAATTCAACCGAAATATAATTTTTTACTTTATTTCAGATTGATTTAAATTTTACATAGCCACATGTAGCTAGAACAATCTTATCACAAAGCATATAGGTGGGTTACAGATGAACAACCTATATGACTGTTTCAGTCTTTCATACCAAATGAATTTATACAACTACGAAGGATCTGACGAAACAAGAAAGCAACATTGCTAAAGAAGTACTTACACTTCTGACTCTCTTATCTGCTTTTTGTTTCAACTGTTCTATCTGTTTGGAAGACACGAAAAGAAAAACATTAAGTCTCACCTCAATGTTGATACTTGCCTTGTTTATTATTAGAGTGTCACAACAAACTCAACTTTCCAGCATTTCAAAATGTGATAGAAACTTAAAGACCACATAGTTTTTAGCGTGGGAAGAAGATCCCATGTCTCTGATGTACGGTCACAGGGCCCCGGGCTCAGAGACAGGCTGCCAGGCCAGCACCTTTTGTTCAGGTGACTTAAATTCACTGGCTGTTGAGTGATATGGCGGACAGACTGCAAAACTCATAGTGAGTCTTGACAAAAAAATTCTCATTACAACTCAGTTTTTGCCCCCACTTATTTAGAACAATTTTCCAAGTGATATATGTAACAGAGGCACTAAAGATAATACTCGGTCTCTGTTGTAGGATCTTTTCAAATTAATTATATGAATTAAATAAAAATATGAGACATCAGTTGCCATCACTATATATATATATACATATATACACATATATATATATATGATGAATGACCTGGCACCTGAGTTGCGCAGGAGGAAGAGAGCGGCTTGGAATGCCTTCAAGAACGTTGAAGAAATAACTAAAAGGACAAAGAACCTCCAGCTATGAGCACATCTCTTTGATTCCACTGTTCTTCCTGCATTAACATATGCCTCAGAGACCTGGACCCTACGAAAACAGGATGAGAACGCTATTCGGGTCTCTCAAAGAGGAATCGAAAGAGCTATGCTTGGAATATCACGATTCACTCAAATGAGAGATAGAATCCGGAGTTCTGATCTTCGTCAACGCTCAAGAATCAGGGACGCTGTCTCATTTGCCAAGACATCAAAAATCAGAAGGGCTGGACACGTAATGAGGTTTACAGACAACTGCCGGACTAGAGCCATTACTGATTGGATTCCACGGGATATCAAAAGATCACGTGGACGCCCACCTACAAGATGGTCAGACTTCTTCGTTAAGACCCTCCATGATCGGTTTGAGGCTCTGCATGTTCCTAGAACGAACAGATACCATTGGGCTACGCTAGCACGCAACCAGGATGAATGGAGACGTTACTGGCACCCGCTCGAGTAAATTGATGAATAACGGGGATTAAGTGATTAAGTGACATATATATAGTGACATATTATGATATTTATTATGTAAGTAAGTGCCAAATCCAGAGACATCCAGAGCCAGAGAGGCAGCACAGAGGGTCAGGCACTTGCTTTGCATGCGGGTGACCTGGGTCAACCTCTGGCAGCCCAGCTGATGCCCTGAGCCCTATCAGCAGTGATCCCTGAGCGCAGGGCCAGGAGGAAGCCCTGGGCACCACTGGATGTGGTCCCCAAATCAAATCAAACCAAAACTAAATCAAAACAAAAACAGAGGCACAGGAGAGGCCAGGCTATGGAAGGAGTGGGAACTAAAATTTATTTCAGAGAGGTTAGATGACAGAGGAAAGAACTGGGCAAATCAGCTGGCAGGCAGCTACAAGGTGTTCCCAGATTGACCAGGTGGACTGGAGAGGGTGATTCCTGCTAGGAAGCAGCTGGGAGGCGGCGTCACTCAGTATAGCAGTGACGGAATCATGCCTGCTTCTCAAGCTCAGAGAGTTAAGAAATTTAAACAAAAGGACCACAAGATACAGAGTGTGCTTTTTCAGAGTTCTTATTTGTTTACTTTTCTAGTTTTTGGGCCACATGCAGCAGTGCTCAGGCTTACTCCTGGTTCTGTGCTCAGGGATCACTCTTGGAGGGGCCAGGGGCCCAAATGTGGTGCCAGGGATTAAACCTGGTCATCCACAGGCAGGGTGGTGAAAATACTCACGGTTAAGCTATACTGGTGACAGCCTTCTCTGACGGGCCACTCCAGACCGTCTCCTTCGGGGACACCAGACCACGTAAATACCTGCTTAAAGTTCTTCCATCGGCTCCCCATATCATAAGGAAAGACAAAGACTTCATCTAGCTGATAGTACTGAATTCGATCTTTAGCCTGCGGGCAACAAAGATGTAAGTCAGTACTTTTTCCGGAGATGGCACCAGAGTCCAAGGACAGAGCTTCTGCCCCTCTCAAAGTTCAAGCCAAAGCCAAAACTTCAGACCAAGAGGGCAGTGCTGAAGGGGGACCACAGCCACAGAAGATTACCCCCCTTCTAAAGACCCCAAATGCTAAGAAGGCAGCTCAGATATCCTGTGAGGAGTGCCCCCAGGAGAAACAAGCCTGACTATTATGCCTTCAAGTTCCCTCTGGCCACGGAGCCAGCCAGAAGGAAGAGAGACGGTAACAACACACTCATGTCCACTGTGGATGCCACGGCCAACAAATGCCAGATTCAACAGACTCTACAACAGTGATGCCAAGGTCAGTGCCCTGATTAGGCCCGGGAGAGAAAAGGGGCATATATTCGGCTGGCTCCTGACTAGGATGCTCTGGATGTTGCCAACAAAATTGGGATCATCATCATCAACAGTCCAGCTGGCTAATTCTAAATATAGATATTTTTCACCATTAAAAAAAAAAGATGTAAGTTGGCCATTGGCCCTACACCCAATGGCTGTGAGTAACATGCATTTTTTATGCGTGCATATGCTGCCTAAGCCCACATGCTGCTGGTGCCCAGGTGGCCGAGCACATGTGGTGCCTGCATCTGTCCTCTTGACTTTCCTATCTAATGCTGGGGTGTGTGTGTAGGGGCTCTCTCCGCCTTTGGAGAAGCCCGCATTGTTCTCTCACTTTCTCTTGCTCTTCCCCTTCCAAAAACCTCCAAATAAAATGTTTTACTTAAAAAAAAAAAAAAAGAAAAAGCAACATACTTTTTTTTCTTTGTAGAATTATAGTTGAAGACATTGGCATTTTGAACAATGAAATACTACTAGGAATTTCAACTAAATTTTGAGAGCTAAGTTCTTGGGGTAGAGCGATAGCACAGTGGGTAGGGCATTTGCCTTGCATGCAGCCGACCTGGGTTTGATTCCTCCGCCCCTTTCGGAGAGCCCAGCAAGCTACCGAGAGTATCTCATCCTCACGGCAAAGCCTGGCAAGCTACCCATGATGTATTCAATATGCCAAACATAGTAACAACAAGTCTCACAATGGAGACGTTACTGGGCCCTCTCGAGCAAATCAATGAACAATGGGAGGACAGTGCTACAGGGCAAGTTCTTGTGGCTGGGATTTGAGAGATGAGTTCTTGTGGTCAGTGTTAAGATCATATGTCTCACATGTCTGAGGTGATCTGTTTGATCTCAGGCACTAAATGAATGAAAGATGGACTTCCTGGAGCCAGAGAGATAGTTCAGTGGACAGAGAGGTCTGGTTCCAATACCATCACCCCCAGACTTTTTCTTCTTGGATCTTGGGCTACACCTGGCAGTGCTGAGCACTTATTTCTAGCTCAGAGTTCAGAATCAGGGGATTAAGTGACTCAGGTGAGTCAGGGACTGAACCTGAGTGGCCATGTGCAAGGCAAATGCCTTACCCAGTAATGTATTACTGAGAACACCCCTCAAATTTCTAAATATACTTCCTCCGTGGACCAGAAAGACAGTCCAAGGGCTGGGATGCATGCCCTACATGCAACTGATCCAGTTCAATCCCTGGCACTGTGCCACATCCTTAGGTAGGTCCTGGCATTCATCTGTTGGCAGAGAACTTCTGGGAGTGGCCTCTAGACCTGCTGACCGCTGCTTAGGAGGCTCCCACAAACAGACAGACAAAACGTCCTCCCTAAAGGTTCTTTCACTGTTACAAGACCGCGATGATTTAGCAGAGAAACCGCACTTCCCTGACAAACAGGGGAGGTTCCATGATAGGTCCTTGCTAGTTCACTTTATTCTTATTCATTAATGTAAGCAAAACTATCAGCTAGTATTCATGTCAGCAGCGGACTCAACCATTCAAAGAAACCACAGGGTGGACACAGAGTTAAAAGAATCAACCAAAGCATTTTGTGAGAAACAAATGCATTGTGAGACAAAATAGCTCCAGGGGATTTTATAATAAAAAGTATTTATAACCTGTACACTATTCATCTTTTGTATCAGCAAACCTCTTTTTTTTTCCTTTTTGGGTTACACCCAGTGATGCTCAGGCATTACTCCTGGTGGTGCTGGGGGACCATATAGGATCTTGGAGATCGAACCTGGGTTGGCAACGTGCAAGGCAAATGCCCTACCTGCTGTACTATCGCTCTGACCCCCTATATCAACAAAACTCTTAATAATTAAACACACACACACACACACACACACACACACACACACACAATATTCTTCCTCTTTGTGTTATCGTACTCAGAAGAGAAAGACAAATCTATCACATAGGAAAGACTCGCCATACCCACAAATCTTGACTGTATGAGATCATCCAGAAAATGTATGACAAGGCCTACTTAGGGATAAGCTTTCAAACACACTTATTAAAATTACTCAGCAGCTTTTTTCATGTACAGAGAAAAGATTGTCAATACCCCTTGCAAATTCAGTGACAAAAGAATCCAGGTATAAAGATGGGATATTGATAAACAAGATTCTCATGAGAAAAAAAGAGAATAAAAACTTACTCTGGATTTGTTACATGTAATGTAGAAGTAAATAATGAAATAATTCCTGGGGTGTAACAGCATCTTACAGTTCTATCACCGGGGTAAGGCATGGTCAGGAAGGGTGAAGAGTGGAGTCATCACTTTGCAAAACTTATTTTGGGGGCTCCCAAGACCACTCCCAGTGACCGTCTGAAAGTTCACTAGCTGGGTCTGACGAGGTGATGCTGCTGGGCCTGGCAGTGCTGGGGATTACACAGGCCACCCTGGCAGTGCTCAATGCCAGTGCTAGGAGGGGTTCTGTGGTGCTGGGGACAGAACTGAGTGGGCCGCAGGCAAAGCTTGCTCCTTCACCGCTATACCAGCTCGACAATTTTGTTTTGTTTTTCTTTTTCAATTTTGTTTTTAAAGCCTGAGATCTACAGGAGATCTTTTCAAAAATCACTCATGAAAACATAATCATATGCATGTACTCATTTACATTTTATGTATACATTGCATAATTCAATTTCAGGTTTTAAACTTAAGTAAATAAAGTAGCTTAGAATTAAGTCTTAAGTTCCGCTGACATCTAGTGGTACAGATACATTATTTACTCCTACATTACATGTGACAAATCCAGTTACTTTTATTATACACATTTTCATGTCTGGGGGTTTCAAGACATTTTCTCTAAGTTTAATGCAATCCAACATTTAAAAAACATGAATTCTTCACTCAGCAATAGAGCATCAGTTTTAACATAACTTCTGGATTTAGATGGCACTTTAAAAAGTGGAGCCGCACGGAATGGGAAAAACTATTTACCCAAGACCCATTTGAAAGGCAGTTAAAATAGAAGATATACAAGGCACTAGTAGAACTTTACAAGAAAAAAACATCCAACCCCATCAAAAAATGGGGAGAAGAAATAAACAGAAACTTCCTCAAAGAAGAAAATACAAATGGGCAAAAGGCACATGAAAAAATGTTCTACATGACTAATTGTTGAATAGCATTGGTTCCTCCTTTCTTTTCCTTTCTCCTCCACTGTAAGAAGCGTAAGTTCACTCCAAATCATATTTACTTCTGGGCATCCATCATACTTACTTATGCCTCAGTTGCCCTTAGTTCCTAACACCCCAAAAAAGAGGGTCCCAGGGAGGAACCTGGGTGGACCCAGGGCCAGCTGTAAGCTACTCAAGCATTGAAAAGGGACAAGCTGTAAGCTACCCTGGCATCAAAGAGACAGGCCAAGCACCATAAAACAATAAGTTAAGAGCACGGGCATGGACACACTCTGTTCTGATCCCCTAAAAAGTGACTGAACAGGAACCCTGCTGGGGTTAGGAAGGACTAATCTGGCCTGAGGACTGTAGTCTGGGTTCTTTGGTGAGATGTCCCCAGGCATCCTTTAAGCTTAATATATCTCTCACTGTGACCACATAAAATGACTAAAAATATTATTAAGAAGTAAATTTAAGATGACTGTTTAAATGGATTTGAACTAAGGAAAGGAGAAATACACCCTTAAGATGGAATTCTGACCTTGGGTGGATCTCCTTGCAGGATGAGATTTTGTCCTAGGCGCTCTGCCCAAGGGAAGGGCCTTATCCCCATTGCTTGTACAATCACACCTATGTGTAGTTGCAACCCCCAAGTGAAGGGGATTGGCATGATAACTGAGGCTGTGAGACTGGGCTTGGGGAGACTGGAAAGGGGGCACTGGGAGACTGGAATAGAGATGTGGGGAGGATGGAATAAAAGGCGGGGTGGAGATTGGGGTGGGGAAGCGACTCTTGGCCACCTGACGCAAACATTGAGAATCCATATTTTTTGAACTCACAACTAATCGCCAGGGAGATGCAAAACAAAACAATGAGATTATCTCATTTACAGAGACTGGCACACATCCAGAACAAGAACAACCAGTGCCAATGCGGATGTGGGGAGAAAGGAACTCTCATTCACATTGCTGGTAGGAATGCCTACTAGTCCAGTCTTCTTGGAAAACAAAATGGGCACTGCTCAAAAATCTAGAAATTGGGCTTCCGTATGACCCAGCAATATCATTCCTGGGAATACACTCTAGGGTCCCAAAGACACAACCAAGAAAAGCTTTCTGCACTTCTATCTTTACTGCAGCACTATTCACGAAAGTCAGAATGTGGAAACACCGAGTGCCTGAGAACAGATGACTGGATAAAGAAACTATGGTATATCTACACAATGGTATAGATATGCAGCCACCAGGAAAAAATCAAGTAATGAGATTCACTTATAAATGGAAAATGAGTCAGAGGGAGAGGGACTGACATAGAATGACTGCACTCATTTGGAGGACATAAAAAGTATGAAATTAATATTCAAGAACAGTAGAAAAGAGAGTCAGGAGAACCGTTCCATAGCTGGAAGCTTGCCACCGGTGGGGGGAGCGGAGAAAGGGGGAGGTTGGGGAGGAGTGCAATTAGGACTGAGAAGGGACCACTATGATAATGAAAGTCAGAAATGATCACTCTGGATAAGACTTAAAAGAGAGAAAGTGATATACATGATAACCTTTCAGTAACAGTCCTGCAAACCACAATGAGAGAGAGAGAGAGAGAGAGAGAGAGAGAGAAAGAGACAAGGAGGGAGAGAGAGGGGGAGAGAGAGGGAGGGAGGGAAGGGGAGAGGGAGGAGAGAGGGGAAAAGGAGAGGAGGAGAGGGAGGGAAGGAGGGAAAAGTGCCTGTCATGGGGGTGGGATGGGTAGCAGGGAGGGAAATTCCGATCATTGGTGGTGGGAATGCAGTGGTGGAAGGAAGGATGGGTGCTGAAACATAGTATGACTGAAACTCAAACTCACTCATGAACAACTTTGTAACTGTGTCTCTCATGGTGATTCAATAACAAGTATTATAGGCTAGGCACCTCAAAATTCTCCACAAAATGAGAATTTTGTCTCAAATTAAGGGGCCTTTATCAGGTGGCCAGTGCCTGCTCTCTAAAGCCCAGACTGGATGAGCGGCGGCCTTGGAAGTGAAAAGCAAAGGTTTTCAAAGGACCAAACCACATCCTGGAATTTCACTAAGCAAGTGAGCAAAATTACAGAAGCCAAACAAAGTGGCTAGCTAGACAATCCATTAATACAGAAACCCAAAATAAACAATAGTTAAACAGAAACCAAAAATAGTTAAACAATCAGTAAAGCAGTCAATCAATAAAGTAGCCAAACAATCAGCAAAGCTGTTAAATAATCAGTAGTCAAAAAATCAACTGGTTGATGCAGGGACTAAAAATCGCTAGCTACACCCTTTACCGATGCATCTTGTGTCCTGTTTAAAGGGGCAAGTGAGTGCATATTCTGGATGCCAAAGCCAAGAGTAAAACAATTTGTTTCTTTCTCGAGGGAATGGGGTCAGTCTTCCACAAAAAAGTGGGTGGGGGAAGTGGGACTGAAGAGATAGCACAGTGGGTCGGGTGCTCACCTTGCATGTGGCCAATTGGATTTAATCCCTGGCACCCCAATTTGGTCCTCTCCTGCAAGCCAGAGGGTATGAGAAGCATGTGATTCTGGGAGTTCTAGTAAACTGTGTAAACTCAAAAAGACAGCAGCGGTCTATCACTCCTGCTGCCCGCGTTCGGCAGTCTCAGGCCGCTTCTCCACCCTGGGGAGGTCGATGGCGATGGGCAGATGAAGGAAGGAAACGAGGGCCAGGCTGGTTGGTGTCAGCTGCAGTTTATTCCATTCCCATCTCCATTCTCCTCTTTGATTCACCTCCTGCTTCTTCCTCCCCCATACTACTTCATTCTCCTTCTCGATCCCCCTTCAACCTCCTCTGACTCTGGAATCTGGATCTCCTTTCTCCTTCTTCTGGAGTCTGGATCCCCCAGCCCACTCTTACAGTCTAGTTAAATCCCAAAACCATGAGGCGTTGAGGCTTACACATAGGTGTGGTCACAATCAATAGGGGTAAAGTTCTTTCCCTCAGGGGGTACTTCTTGTAGGACAGATACCCTCTCAGCAGGTCAACCCACCCTGGGACGGAATCCATGGGTGTGTTTCTCCTCTCCTTGTCCCCCAAACATATAAGCATTCATAATATTAATCATTTTGTATGGACACAGTAAGAAATAAATTAAGCTTATAGAATTGCTCTTAGGGCCATCTAGATCTCAGACTATAGTGCTCAGGCCAGATAGTCTTTCCTTTCCCTAGCAGGGTTCTAGTCTCGTCATTACTTTTGGATCATGATAACATTTGCCTATGATCAAACTCTTAACTTACAGTTAAGAATCGTGGCACTTTGGCCTGGCCCATTTTGATGCCAGGGAGGCTCACAGCTTGCCCTGGGTCCATTCAGTCCCGTGCTGGGACCCTGCTTTTGGGGTGCTAGGAACTAAGGGCAACTGAGGCTTAAGTCAAGAAAGCTGATCCCCGGGAGTGAATAATATTCAAAGCCAATTAAATCCTAAGTTACAAAAGCATAATATTAACCGTCTTCCTGTATCTATACAAAAAGGACCCTGCTTTAAAGTAAACTATTCATAAGACATAAGGAGAGAAGAAAGACAATATTTCACTCATACATACAAAATCATAGATTTCTGAGGAATCTGACCTTAGAAGTTAACAGAGTGTGATTGGGGGAAAAAGCTGATTAACTGGTTGGGGAGGAGAGCATAGGGAAGAGTTTACAGATAAGCACAATGGAATGGAAGTGCCTCAGGAGCACTGTAATAAACCTGGGTTCCTTGTGGCAAGGCAGAAAGGACAAACCAATGTCATCCTACAGTTCACCAGGAAAATGCCTGGTAGCTTCATCTTCCACGGGGCAGGCAAATGAACAAAGGAAGCCATTTGGTAGCCATGCTTTCATTTTTTAGGTATTAGTTAATCTGGTCTACTTGTTACCCGCACTTTATTGATATTGAGGAAACAATAATAAAATTTACCTTCTCTTCAATCCATGATTCAATAGAGGTTTTGTTATTGAGAATAATTTTCATCTAGAAATTAAATGATAGTAAAATTTCATGTGACTTAGGTGCACTGAAGATTGTCATTTTCATACTACCCCTGAGATAAGTTTTATTGCTCCATTCCTTAGAGGAAGACAGCAAGACAACAAAAGGTTAAACACCCTCTAATTTGTCTTTGAAATCTTGTTCTTAACTATTGTACTACAGAGACTCTTCCTAAAAGTGGCTGCATCAACCCATAATCAAATCTATTTTAATATCCACCCATCTTTTAAGAACTATCAACTGAACAAGGCTTAGAGTACTAATAAAACATTGATATAATCCATTCATCAGTACTAGCTGTATTTTGCTTTTAAAAGTCACTATTTTCAATTAACCTTGAATTTATGATTAATGTTTTTATTATAAGTAACAGTGACTCACTTCAGTCATCCTAGGCATTCTGGCTGTCTTAAAAATAGACTATCTTCAGACTCTTTATTCTTTAACTTTCCTAGATATGACTAATCCCACCTCTGTAGGTGTTTCACACTAGAGGAGTTTATTTCTAACATGATTCCTTCTCTTTCAGCATCTGACTCCCAGTAGAGTGAGATCTCAAAGTAAGTAGATGAAATGGGTCCTATGGTCTGTTTTGTGATAATCTCCTCCCAACCCCCCATACAACCCCCCTCAACAAGGCCCATCCTCATCCTATGTTCTCAGAGAACTCCATACTGAATCAATGATACAGACATGACTTTGAATTAGTTAAGTGGTTATGAGTTCTCTAGGGGCACGACCCACTTGACTTTCATGACTGTGCCCTCAGAAACTAGCAGAGTAATTCATCACACAGGAGGCCTAAAATGGCACCTGATACCGTGTGGTGACAGACATTAAATGAGTGCTTGTGAAACTCCCCAAATACTAAACGTGTCTAGCACCTACCTACTCCATAAAGCTTAGGTGTAATAGTATGATCATGATTTATACTTTGATTTATATATATATGATTTATCACACTGCTATAAAATAATAATTATGTTTTCTGAATACATGTCTAGGTAATCTTGGGTAGGTCGCTTAATCTTTCTGTGATTCAATTATGAGTTTGTAAGGTCTGAACAATATTTCAGCCTTTCTCAGTCTTACTTGAACGTCTACTTTGAGAGAGACTGTGAATGTGGGAAGAACTTTCTCAGCCCTAACTCCAATATAACATCTTAAAAATGAAATCAACTAACTAGACATTCTGCAAAGTTACTTCAAAATGATCTAATATTAAGTTAGTTATGTCTTGGCACAATGAACAATAATGCCTACTTCCTTCTTTCTTTCTCATTGCCATCAGCCCCAATTGCCTTGACAGCTGTTAGCGACAGGAAACCGGTGCTGAGAAACTCACCTGGATGAAAAACAACATCCCAACCGCTATGGTTGTTCCTAAAGCTAATCCCAAGGCAAACAAGGTAGCAGCGAATGCAGCTAATCCAAATGGAATGATTGGAAGAGGGTCTCTCCGGGCTGCGCTCATGTCGATCTTCACCGTGTTCCACCCGAAGGAGAGCTAGAAGCAACAAGAGCACATGCTTGCAGGACTCGCTACATACAAACGGTCGGACTCCACGGGCACACTTAAACTACTAGATCAAAAAGACCGACAAAGGACAGCCGGAGACTTTGTATTTGCTGGTCAGAGCAAATACAGCCACTAAGGCAGTGGTGTGAACTCACACCAACAGACACAGTATCATTCGTGGACATTCTCCCAACATCAGTTTTGTTTTCCTATTGAATGCTCAGAAAGCACTGGGCAGACCCCACCAACATTCAGCTTGCAAGGACAGCGTGCAGTGCAGCCACCGTTCTCTGCTCTTACACTGACAGCAACCTTCCACAGCAACTACAGCCGAGCACCTACCTGTTCCTTCCCCAACCTGAGCTAAAGAACTGGCATATCACAGGTCAACTACACACAGCCTACATGCCAATGGTTGGCAAAGACGTTTTAATATATTCAGCTAGGTGCCAACAGTTAGAAACTCAGCGGATGTCTGAATTTTCTTGAAAAGTGAAGGACCTACATGGGGGGAACTCCCAAACAACAAAAGCTGGCTGAAGTTGAATGGGGACTGTCCTCCCTATGAAGGACACGAACTTTCCACTTAGCCACGGTCCTACTGGTCCCGTGTCCCCAATTTTACTTCGAGAGCTTTTTAGGGAATTTGTGATCTCTGAACTTTATCCTGTGATCACTTGGCCACAAATCGACCCAGGACCTGGCTGAATATTTGAGAACACGCTCTTATTCCTCATACTTGCCCCTATTCTTCATATTTCATATTCCTCATACTTCAGTGTTGAGAAATATGGACAGAAATGATAAAACAACTCTACTTTGCCAAATAAACTCGATGAAAATAAAGCATCGGCCTTATTTTCTCTTCTCTAAATATACTTCGCTCAGCTGTCAAGTTGAAATTAAGGTTCAGTGCTTTTTAAAATAAGAATCCCTACAGAGGAAAAACAGAGTTGTTTCCCCACCTATAACACAGGAATCACATTTCAAAAAAAGGATTTCTGAAGTAAACTTGACCACTACCATTGACTGTGGCATGGATGTGTTGATTCTAAACACTTTCACTTACCCGATTATAAAGCTGTGAGTACATAGTCATCACAAAAATGAAGGCAGCATGAATACACCCCAGTGGGGCTAAAAGGAGAAACAGTGTGAAGGAAGCATGATTTTGGTAACCACAACAGTTGTTGATCCAAGGACAGTGATGGTCCATCTTCATCACACATCTAATAAGAAAAATTCACATAAAACATGAAGCAAAAAATCCTGTCGACTTGAAATAACTTTTGTTTTCAAAAGATCAGGCAAAGATGCATCCAGGAGGGCCATAACTCACAGAGGAATTTCTCCTTCATGGAGAGAGAGAACAATCCTTCTGAGTTTTTAAACAACTCGAAACAGTGACTTCTTGTACATTCTATACAGCACAAGAAAGGGCAGCCTTTGTAGTGGCTTCCTAGGAAAAGATGCCGGCTGCAAGCAATTGTGTAAGAAGTCAGGCCCACTGAGAGCTCGCTGCAAAGAAACGAGCGGGGTTCTGGCTCTCTTGGGCTCTGACAGACACTGACTGAAGTGGGGAACGACAGAGACTCAACAGAGTCACTTAGAAAGCTCCACCAGAATAGAGGGCTCCACCCTAATGAATGCCCAGACCATCCTTCCTCCATGTTCTCATCTTTTAGATATGGAATCCTTGAGCAAACAAACTCTGGAGTTAAGATGTGGCATAACGAGCAGAGTCACAAGTCCTTTCCTTGTTGTTGCCAGAACACTTCCTGGCCTTCAATAAATTAATTGCTTCCAAGGATTCCTCTGAATGTCACCATTCTCAACAGAAATTTCATGTTCATCAGTGGAGCAATCAGTTAAAAAGGTTCTAGCTTATTTCACACTGTTTTTAGTGACTTTGTTCCTTATTCAGTTTCCAATGGGAAAGACGTGTGGTAAGAGGGCCCAGGATTCATTGTGTACAGTCATATAAAGTGTAAATGTTAGTCAACAGTCCCAAATAAGGAAAGAGTAGGCCTACTTGATAAATTATACTCAGGACAATGCTATAGCACCTTAAAATGATGTTCAAAAAGCACAACGAATCCTCATCTATGGAAGCAACTTGAATGTAGTGTTTTACCCTGTTCTTGGCAAGGAAAGAAGCAAAGTAAACTTGCTTTCACGAAAATGAATCTTTTTCACTTATAACAAACAAAAGAGTGAGAAGATTAGAACTGACAATTTAAAAGTAAAATGGAGATTACGAACCCAAGGATGTTGAAAATCTAAGAAAAGTAGCCACCCTGAGAAAACAGAACTAGGACCCGTGCGCTAGAAACAGCCACACTTGGTCCCCAGTGAAGAGCAGAGACACACAGTACCTGTTGCACTTTCTGCAGTGATGGGACCGCGGTGCCTTGTACGCTTGGCAGACTTTACAATACTGGAGGTACATACTATCCTGAGAGTTTTCCTTGGCAGCAAAATACAAACAAAAATACAAGAGATAACACACCCTAAATCATAACCAGTCATGTTCAAATCTTCTAAATAAACAGTTCTCTATGATTTTGGCTTTCTTTTATAGGGCCTAGGGGCAGGACCAACTCTTTCATTTCCAACCCTTTCATTGGAACTAAAGTAATCTTTAATACTAAATTACAGGTAATGATAGTATCGCCATCCCAATTACCCACACACCATTTTATTTATGTCCCCTCTTTTATATCTAATACCAAAATCCAGTGTCCCTGAGTAGAGCTGGTTCTATAAACCCCAAATCTTTTATTATTTTTTGCGGGCCACACCTGGTGATGATTACAGGGATTATTTTTGCCTCTGCATTCAAGAATTACTCCTGGCTATGCTCGGGGGACCATATGGGATGCCGGGCATTGAACCCGGGTTGGACATATGCAAAGCAAACACCCTACCCACTGTACTACCTCTCTGGCCCCAAATCCCAAAGTCTTAAGAAGGAGGGAAGTGGACAGATGGCAGGTGCCAACTTGGGAGATTTTTTTTTTCTTTTTGGGTCATACCCAGCAATGCTCGGGAATTACTCCTGGCTCTGCACTCAGGAATTAATCCTGGTGGTGCTTGGAGGACCATATGGGATGCTGGGAATTGAACCCGGGTGTGCCGTGTGCAAGGCAAACACCCTACTCACTGTGCTATCACTCCAGCAGATATCACATCCCTTGGCAGATGTTTTAAGAGTCAGGATTCACCCACCAGAGAAGATGGTCTTTCAGAAATCTACTGCCTGCCCACCTGAATCGCTTCCTTATGTTTCCTTAACTGTCATTTCTTTCTAGTCCAGACCACCTACTGTCAGGACAATATTCCTCTAACACCTAAATGACGAGAGGGTTCTGTTGAAAAACCTCCAACAACGCCTCTGTCCTAACAAATTCTCATGCATTTGAGGCTTCTCTAATTTGCCTTTGTTTCAGCCTTGCCTGCACAACGTAATTTCTTTCCAGCAAAGGAGGCTATATATGGCACCATCCTTTCAATGGGAACTGGTCTCTCTCCCCCCCTTAGGTTCCCCATGGAAATGATCAGATCATTCTAATTTCAACAGTACTTGCAACATTCTACTCTAGAGACTGCTATTTGTATAAGCTGCCAGGGTTTCTGTCCTCATAAGATTTTTCAGAACCATCACAAAGAGCGCACTAGTGTGTCTCTGGAACTTTTATGTAGCCAGGCATCATTTGGGAATTTTGTGAACTGCAGATTGATTCAGAAGGATTGGGGAGAAGCCCAAGATTCTGCAATTCTTTCTTTTTTTTTTTTTTATTTATTGAATCACTGTGAGAAAAGTTACAAAGCTTTCAGGTTTAAGTCTCGGTCATACATTGATCAAACACCCACCCCTTCACCGGTGCATATTTTCCACCATCAAGAACCCCATATACCTCCCATCCCAACCCTCCCGATGCCAGTGAGGCAGATGATTTCCACTTAACTCTCTGTCTACTTTGATTACATTCATTATTTCGACAAAAGATGCACCATTATTATTTGGAATTTCCCCCCAACAATCAGATCTGCTGAAAAGGCATTGTGAAATAATTTGTTTTCTATTGTGGCCGCGTGATTTTGGATTTCTGATATTTTACCAATTAAGTCTGGAGGGATTTCTGCCAAAAGTTGCATAGTTACGAGATTTGTTTGTGTGCCTCTGGGTCCATGGCAGTGCTGGGGAGCTGCTCGTGGTGGGCAACTCTCGACCTCGCAGGGGAGGGAAGGACATGCCGGTTCTGCCGCCTCATCCCATGAAGCCGCAGTTGCCCGGTCAACGCCAGCTCAATACCTGGCTGTCCAATAAGCTGAGGTGGCGGCCACTGTGCTGTGGGGGAGGAGGGGAGGTGGAAGAGACAGACACCCTTGCGGGGGGAGGAGAAGGGGCACAGCACCATAGCTTAATGCATAGTCCATTCACATTTCTGCCAAAAGCTGCTGGGTTCCGAATTAGGTTCGTGTGCCTCTGGGGCCATGGCTGTGCCCGAGACCCACTTGTGGGGGGCAACTCTCGGCCTCGGCGAGGCGGGAAGGCTGTAGATTCTGCAATTCTGACAAGTTATATGCAGAGGAATTCCTCTCCTGAGGAATTTGGGAATTCATAAGCATAAACTTTCTTACAATTCTTCAGAAGCCATACACTGATTGTATACTCCACGTTAGATTTCAGTGTAATGGTTTTAAAACTTTACTGCTCAAACCGGCTGTTTTGATGGTTCAGCTCAATTCTGAGACATTAATGTTTTACATGAAAAGGGATATTAGTGCCAAATGGCATTGTGAAATTATAAGCAAAGCAGAGGGGCAGTTTCCCAGAAACCTTATGATCACGGACTCACCATCTTGTCTTCCATTAAAGGGAAAAAAAACAAACCACTTGGGACAAGTATTCAATGGTTCTGTTTTGCGGAACGCTCATTTAACTTTAAATTATTTATTTCTGTTTTGGGGACACATTTAGAGGTGCTTACTCCTGGCAGGGCTTGGGGGCCCAAATGTGAGACCCAGATATTGATGCTGGGTGAGCTTCAGTGGGAAGCTCATACCCACTGTCCTATTTCTTTGGCCAGACAGGTATGAAAATTCTTTGAGCTTTAAATGAGCCGTGATTAGCACACAGACCAAAAAACAAACAAACAGAAAAAAACATTTGCTGTTACTGGCTAGTAGACAAGGCAAAGACTAAACATACGATTAAACATCTGAGTTCCCTGTCTTAAGGAACTTTTTTGCTTACCGGTTTCCACCCCAGAGGGACAAAGCCAGGCCCCACAAACATGGCATTGAAGTAATTATAAAGAATCATGACGGTCCAGTTTATCAGCATGATGAAATTCACACTTCCTCCGGTGGTATGTAAGGGCCAATACCACAACACAGAGTCAATCATGGCCATGGTGGAGCATATGGCTATAACGCCCAGCGCGATAATGGGGCCCCAGTGACACAGTCTCTTTACTTCTTGGAGATTTTCAAACCTGACAACTGAGCAGAGTGCATCCATTTTGGCGAGGAAGAATGCCTTCCTGTGTGAAAGGAATGACACATTTCCATGTGCCACAAGTCCACGTGAGTCCCTTAATTGTCAAGCCTCCCAGCTGTGAGATGTTAATGCACAGGACGCCATTGTCATTGACATACATTCACTGGCTCTTTATCTGTAACCAGGGCAATCGGGTATCTTGGCTTGAAACCCAACCTAAAGAAAATGAAACGAGGAAGTTCAGTCAAACTCCAGATTTATTTTATACTCTCTTTGTTGACACCAAAGCTCATTCGCATTAGGCCGGTCTCCTGTCAAGTGTAAAAAAAAAAAAAATAAAGCTATTTTCATCTTGTCCACGCTAGGGGTCCAGTTAGAATATTGGGCACTGCTAAAATCCACCTTTGATTCCCAATTTCTCTGGGAACTAGGATGAGTGAAAGGCTTGAGGGGAAAAAAAGTTTAGAGCTGGGAAGGAATCCAGCTTCCCTTCTTTTTTTTAGAAAAAGCAGTGGCTGGAAGAGGCTAGTAGATCACAACAGCAAGGTTACAAGTAACTGATGAACTGCAAGTCTAGGCATTCCAACCTCCAGGATCTACCGAGTTCTGAGTCAATCAAGCGTGAGCCCAGCCTGCACTGACCCTCAAACACCCCGTTAAGAAGTGTTGGGGGGGGGTAGGAGTGGGGGTCGGCGGGGAAGGAGCGCGCGAGACAAAGGAGAGGGAGCGTGCAAGGGGCGGAGGTGGGGAATAGGAGTGCGGAGTTTGGGAAGGAACAGGAACGATCAGGAGGGAGGGAAATGGTCAAGAAGTGCCTCCCGGGGCGAGGCGGCGGCCGAAGAGTCGGGGCAGACGGATCCGGAGGGAGGGGAGCAAGAGTCTCCCTCCCTGCAGGTTCTGCCTCAGTTTCCCGCCCTGGGCACGGAGCAGAGCGCTCGGAAAGCCTCCCTGGGAGGGGGCGCAGGCGGGTTCTCCGGGCGGATCTGGGTCCCCCGGGCCGTCCCGCGTTAATTGGGGGGGGGGGCGGGAGGTCGGGGACCGGAGGGTCCCGGGCGCGGTTACAACCCCCCACCCCACCCCCACCCCCACCGCCCCGATCCCGCCGCTCGGCGCCCGAACCTCCCGCCCTCCCGCGTTTCCGGGGCGGCCAGAGCTCACCCGGAACAAATCTGCGCCTCTGGGGGTAACTCCGTCGCGGCTACCTCGGCCGAGCGAAGCAGAAAGCGAGTGGCGCCCGCCCGGCGTGCAGGACCCGCCGCGCCACGCCCGTGCGTGTCCCCGCCCGCGCCCCGGCCGCGGTGTCCCGACTGCGAGCGGCCGCGCAGCCTCCGCCACGGCCACTTCCGGGCGGTGCGTCGCCTCCACCGTCCCCCCCCGGAAACCTGCTCGCGGGCGCCGCTCGTTCCCAAGCCGAATGATCAAAGTAATACGACGCTCAGTCACCCAACCCTATGAGAAACCTTCTATTTTTCCTAGATTTTTTTTGCGGGGGGTGGGAAAGTGTCTCAAGGAAGTTTTTTTCCCCCTTTTTTCCCTTAGAGTAGTTTTTTTTTTTTTAAATTCCGAAGCCTACTCGGAACGTCTCAAGCGCGTGCCCTCCGGTTTCCGGAGGACCGAGATCGCGGCGAACAACCAGGAAGCGGCCGGGGCCGGGAGCTGTCCCCGGTTCTTCGCTCGGCTGCCGGGGCCGCCTGCCGCGTCCCACCCGCACTGAGTTCCACTGCCCCGCGCGGACCGCGACCCCCGCCCCCGTCCCCGGCTCCGGCGCGCGCCGGGCCCTCTGCCGCCACTATGTCGTCCGACTTCGAGGGCTATGAGCAGGACTTCGCGGTGCTCACCGCCGAGATCACCAGCAAGATCACCAGGGTCCCGCGACTCCCGCCCGGTGAGAGCCCCGGCCCGGGCGTGCGGGTCGCGGGGAGGCCCGGGCAGGGGGTGAGGGGTGGGGTGGGGGGACGTCGCGGGAACCCGAGTGTCCTCGAGGCTGGAGGTCAGAGGCGGGGGCGGCGGATTCCCCCGAAGGGATGGATCTCGGCTTGGAGGCGAGCAAAAAGGAAGAGTCCGGCTGGGATTATGGGTGGGTGAGTGGGTGGGACTTCGAGAAGAGGCGTGGTGGGATGGGGGGCAGTGAACCATCGGAGACCCCAAATCGAAGTCCTCTCCCCCCACCCACACCTTGTCCTTGGAGAACCTCGGGGTCGTTTTCTCTGAGCCACAGGCTTTAGTTTCGTTTGCAAAATAGCTGTGACTTAACTCGCAGGGAATGAATGAACGTCCTTGGGTCCTGAGTTCGCAGTGGCATAAATGTTTCGTTGCTAGTGACGATTCTTCTAGGGGGCCCAAGTGGGGGCGAAGCGCCCTGGCACCTGGATTCGAAACCCTTGTTCCTCTCCTGCGACTTTGATTTGGGTCGCCTGGGCAAGTGTCTTAACTTCTCTCAACTTTTTCTTCTTGGTGGAACTGGGGACCCCTGGGCTTGTTGCGAAGAGATGATGGATTCACTTATGTCAAACTCTTCCTCGGACCTAGCTGCATATTCGTAGTATTTTTCATACTGGCAACCTTGTTTCTTATTGTTTCCAGTTCTTGGGAGTCTGTACCCTAATTTTAGGTACAGCTTGGCACCAGATCCTTTTTTTTTTTTCCTTTCTTTCTTCTCACTTTTTTTTTTTTTCTTCTCACTTTTGAAATTCCACAAAACCCCAGCTGGCAGTATTTTTGTGGCTGTGTTTCAGCAAGTCACACTTCCAGGCTAGAGTGTCAGTCGTATGAGGGGGTAGGGTGTGTGTGTGTGTGTGGGGGTGGTGGTGGTGGTGGTGGTGGTGATGTGATTGATTTCCTTGGCATTTACTAAGTCGGAGAAAAACCTGTTGCAGCGAGCCAACCAATCCATACACATGATGTTTTGTCATCGTCCTTTGTGAGACATCACCTTGGGGCTTTATCTCTTTGTGCAGATTCAATCTGAGTACTGAGCTGGAGAAACGGTTTTTCGTTTGGTTTTGTTAGGGAAGTTGTGCCATCATGGGGCCGCTGGCTCAGTTTTGTCCTTGCTCTGGGATGCCAGTTGTAGAAATGGGGGTGTGTCCAGGAAGCCTTGAACTGGTCAGAGCTTCAGGCCCACACCTTGTCCATGATGCCCACAGCAATCTCTTCTGGGCTTACGTTTTCATTCCTCTTTCACTTTCCCACCCCGCCCCCAATTTTAGTGTTTATAAATAATTACCTTCCTTTATTTCTTGTTTTTCTCTCCCTCCCCATTTTCTATTACTAGGGATAAGTGCTTGAAGCCATGATCACTGAACTCACACCCACCCATCTTCTGAAGCCCCAGTTAGTTCGACAGGAGGTGGATGATGTCTTAAAGAGGCTTATGAGGCCAAGTGAGGGAGCAAGAGGAGAGGACCGAGGTAGCGTAGACCACCCAGCTCCACCGCCTTGGAGAGTTTTGTGGCGAAGGGGTTGACAGCCTCGTCGCTTCATCACCTGTTACTGCACATCTCCTCAGTTCTGCTTGTCTCGGCTGCGTGACCATCTTGGCTTTCATTGTTCTTGCTGTGGGAGACCGTCTCCTTTGACTTCAGTCCCAGAGCCTCACTGGACTTGGGGTTCTAGTTGGATTTTTGTTTGGCTCTAAGGGAAATGCTTATCGAAGTAGTAACCTTCTTGGTGTTGCACTGAGCTTTCCTTGCAGATGCTGTTTTATAAAGTAGCAAGTCATCCCAGAGTATAAAATGGTGGAAACTGTTTCCAAGAAAACATTTTGTTACTATTGTTTTTTTCCCTTGCCTTTATATATTGAGTCTATGGTTTACATGATTGCCAATAACAGTTCTTCTTGCATATAATTCTGATACCACACCCATCACCGGGGTAGCCACCTGCCTTTACCTTTATATTTTAATGAACCCATTTTCACTAGCGAGGAAACTTTGGAATGAAGTATTTTAAAAGTAGAGCTTTGACTGCCAGGAGTGATTCCTGAGTAAAGACCCAGGAATAACCCCAGAGCACTACCAGATGTGGCCCAGACAAACACAACACACACATACACACACACACACACACACACACTAGAGCTTTGATGATCTTTAACTGTAGTATCATGTTAAGGGCTGCAAGCTGCAGCCATGATAGAACTGAAGGGAGACGGCACTGCAGGCCCTAGAAAGATGTTTCCAAGGGCCGGCGAGGCAGTGAGAAGGGAAGGCACCTGCCTTGCATGCAGATGCTGTGGCCATGGCCAGGATCTGGGTTCAAACCCCTGGTCCCCCGAGCACAAAAGAAAGCCAGATGCTTCCTTTCTTTTGGGATAGTGGGGTGGTTTAATAATAGTAATTCTTCCTAATGTGGTCTCCCTCCAAACTTGTGCGTGCATATTTTATAATTTTCTAAATGACAGTAGAAAAAGGTGAAAAATAAATGCACGGGGCTATGAGTTTTGGGTTTATGTCTGTGGGCCAACAAATTGATATGTACAGCCATGTCAAACAGAGTATGATTAAAACTAATTAGACGCATCTTTGACCCGGAGAAGATGAACTATAATTTACTCAAGTAAAGAAAGTCAAAATTGGAGCAGACTTTTCGGCCACAGCCGTTGCTACCCTCCGCCACATATTCATTTAATTCGTTTTAATTAGAGCAGGGAAGCACGATTGGGATACACTCTGCTCTGTGTGTCCATGTATTCTGAAGAGAATAGAAAAGTTTGCATATATGAATGCTCTATTGAAAGAAGTTTGATTGCTCTGTGGTATGTTTTAACCAATAAAGACTTTGCTCTCATACGAAGGTGTTTGAGTCTTGCCTATTAGACCAGTGAGATGGGGGAGTTGCTTCTTGGTTAAACTGCCATGGCAGGAGGTTTGAAATGTGATTCTTGACAATTACTGCCCCTGTGGGGACATCAGGGAAAGGCTGAGTGGGAGCTACAGCTATTACTGATGACTGAAGTTGCTTTTTCCTCCCCTAATGAATCCTGGATTTGGGATGGGGTGGGGTGTTGGTTTATAGTCATAGAAATTTTTATATCAGGCATATTTCCGCAGGATCATAAACAAGTGTTGCTGTAATGATTTGCTCTCCTCGTTGTTCCTGGTGCGGTAGAAGGTGTGAGATGAGCTCCATTCCTTTTGGCCGCAGTCAGAAACACCAAGAATAACAAAAGTGCCATCCTGAGCAAGCTGTTGGTAGTTTGCATGGCCTTTGCCATCAGCTTCCTCCCTCTGTGAAATGGAAAGAATGGTGGGTGGTGATAATTCCAGCTTCTGTAAATTACAAAACAAATGAAGCATGTGGCCTCAAACACCTTGATCCTAGAAGAAGTCGGTAATAAATTAGCCGTTGGTGCTGTTATTCCAGCTGGTGCGGGCCTTACCTCTGGGAGGGATCGTCAGGATCTAGCTGCTCAGACTACAAAGCAAGATAAAAGTTAGGGGCCAGGGGCTTTGGGGCTCCTAAGCAGTGCTCAGGAGGCTTGGTGGCCCCACTAGCAATGGTCCATCCGTTTAGTGCAAGGGCCCAGGGGATGTGAAGTTGCTTAGCCACTGTGGTCCCGGGATGCCCAGGCCGCCCCAGGGCTATGTTCCCTGCTCCCACCTAGAGATTCTGGGGTGCCTTCTGAGCTGCACCCAGGGATGCTAAGGGGAGCGCATGGTTCTGGGAATCACGCCTGGGTCTGGCGTGTGCTAGGCACAGGCCCTAACTGCTGGATTGTCTCCTGGTCCTGCTGCGTTTTATTTATTATTATTATTATTATTATTATTATTATTTTGTTTTTTGGGTCATACCCGGCGGTGCTCAGGGGTTACTCCTGGCTTTGCACTCAGGAATCACTCCTGGCGGTGCTCAGAGGATCATATGGGATGTTGGAAATCGAACCTGGGTCGCCCATGTGCAAGGCAAACGCCCTACCCGCTGTGCTATCTCTCCAGCCCCCCCTGCTGCGTTTTAAAAGGAAACTTGGACCTCATTCTTGCTTCCTCTGTAGATGTACTCAGACTAGGCACTCATTGGATCCTTCTTGATGAGTGTGTGAAGGGGCTGAGGGATTAAGGGATTCTGAATAGGCAGTTGGAATTGGGCTTGGAATTTAGGCCATGGGGAGAGAGGTGGAAGTGGTGGGTGGGGCAAGAGGAGTATCCTTTCTGTACGAAATGGCAGAGGCCGACTGATGAGTTACTCGGTCTCTTGGAGAATGAAAGACAAAGCCATGTAATACACTAGAACCATCATCCTGCAAGTCCCGTGCTGTAGTGCAGACACTCAGAGCATTCTGCCTTCCGCGGCTGTAGTGCGGACGTTCGGAGCAGCCTGCTTTTCTTGCTTTCCCTGCAGCTCTCTGGGGTTGCTTTGGGACTTTGGTGTTTGTAGGGTGCCTTATGGACCCCTGTGACTCTTAAAATGAGGTTGTTGCCCCAGAATGAAATGCTGTTTTTGATATATTGGTTTAAATACTAGAAAAACTGAAAGAACAAAGAAGAAAACCAATGCCACTTATTTCTTTTTAAAAAGAATGCGGCTTCGAGAGTCCTGTTACATGTTGTGGCCTGCTTATATTCTAGAGTAGAGGTCAGAGTGTGGTGTCTGGCCCTTTCTGCCCTAGTTCTGGAACTCAGAGGTGTTAGAGCAGTTGAAATAGTGTAGAACTTGAGTGAGGTATTCTTTGTCTGTCTGTCTGTCTCTCTGTCTCTCTTTCTCACCCCTCTCAATGGAACTGCTGTGTTTCAACAGTTTATCTAAATCATGATTTCAATAATATTTTTTTTGGTGAGGGCTACACCTAACTCGTTATCAGGGCTGACTCCTTGCTCTGTGCTCTCTGTACTCAGAGTTCACTCTTGGTTGGCTTGGGGGACCATATGGGTTGCTGAGGATCAAAAC